TCCGCCACCAACCGCAAGAGCACCTCAGGGGGGGTTCGATTCGAGGGCCGTCTGACGAGACGAGGGAGGAGACGCAACACAAAGGGAACCCCCTCCCACCAAGTAACCTCAGAGGGATCTGATCGGGATTCTTAGGTTGAAATTGTTGTTCAATAAAAATAATATTTGACCTCAGAGGGATCGTGTTTTTTTGTTGAACGATTCTTCTTTGTGCGTGCTCGACAGCCATGAGTCAAAGCGCCCCGGGTGAGCCTGCATATGTTTGCACCTACCAAATCCCAACACCCATCACAAACCCTGGGGTTCAAACCACCATTCAAGCCATGGGGGTTGCAATGCCTAAGGATTCTCATCATACAAATTGGCTCAACCATTCTTTGGAAGGGGATTGAACCCCAGGGCAAACATGCATGAGAGACGTTTGCGCTGCATCGCCTCTAGTGTAAAAATCAGCGCATAGCACAAGTGCACTGCCAGAAAGACGCCGTCTGCTTTGGCGTCCTGCGCCACCGAATGGTATTCAAGCTGGACCCCCAAGTAGATAGAGTTGGTGAGGACGACCATGGCGAAAAAGGCGTTGCAGTTGGATGAGGACACGACATCGATGGCAAACTGCCGGAACTTTGCCCATGCTGACTGAGTGTTCTGCTGCTGTGGCAGCGTGTCTGCATCGTCTTCTTGCCTCTGCGAAACTCCAAACAGAACGGCAAAAGCAACAAGCGCATAGCTACATTGCAGGAACGCCCTCTTTGTCCGCTGCTTCATCTCGAGTTGTTGCCCCTCCCCCACAAAGAAAGAAAGAAAGAAAGAAAGAAAGAAAGAAAGGAAGGAAGGAAGGAAGGAAGGAAGGAAGGAACAATGAAAGGAACAAAGAATCAGAGAGAAAGAAACAAAGAAAAGAAAGAAAGAAAGAAAGAAAGAAAGAAAGAAAGAAAGAAAAGAATGAAAGGAAGGAAAGAAAGAAAGAAAGAAAGACAGAATGAAAGAAACAAAGAAAAGAAAGAACAACGCCGCTACATTCACATCCGAATGTCTGTTGCACCACCATGCGGTCGTGGGCCATCCGCGCCAAATCATAGCTGCTGACGCCGTCGCCCATCGAGTCCTCCTCCTCCAAAGCCTCCGAAACATCCTTCCTGCGAGGCCAACAATACCCTCCCAAGGCGTTGCTCGTGCGAGCGGGAACCAGTGGATTGGCCCCAGGAAAACTCGGAAAACAATTGGGCGGGGGGGGTGTGTGTTCCCCAACATGACGTTGGGGCTGAAAAGTCCCGAAACTGGGGGGAAGGGAGCAGCTTCGAGATTGAAAGAGACCCATTTGGATGGGGTATAGGTGAACAAGGCAAGAGCTGCATTGACTTCACTCTCGAGAATGCAGCAACAGCACAGGCTACACCCCCCCCCCCAACCCACCTTGTCTGCATAAAATGCAAGCTGGTCAAGCTATACATGCGTGAACCAGGCTGCGAAAGGTCTAAGCAGGAGATTGCAATCCCCCTCGGCCATGCTCAAATACTGAGGGCCATGTTCCCAAAAGCAAGTAAGCCAGGCTTCTTGGGTGCGTTCTAAATTGAATATGCTCTGACTCATGATCAAACAGTCAGAATAGATGGCGTCCAGGAAGCCAAATGGGAACCAGGCGTCCAATTCCCAAACTAACCGAGTCTTTTTCTCAGTTACCCAAAGGGCCTAGAAATAAAAGGTTAACCTTTTGGGGCCATGAAACAGGGAAAACCAAAAGGTAACATTCGCCTTTGGGCAAGTGAGTCTTGCAAGACAACTAAACATGTGTCCCCACGCCAACTCATCAACTACTTCAGCTGAGCCCGTAGCAACAACAAAGCCTCAAGCCTCAGTACGCCCAACGCCTCCTTTCGCCGCAAAAGCCGCAAAAGCCGCCCCAACCGCCCCAACCCAACCCAACCCAACCCAACCCAACCCAACCCAACCGCAACCGCCCCTCGCCCCACCTTCCGCCCCGTGTCCCGGTCCTCTCTTCCGTCCTGTCGCCCCGCTCCAAGCGGATGGAGATGTTCCGCGGCAGGCCCAAAATGGAGCCGGGCGGGGAGTCCGGGGCGGGGCTGCCCATGCTGACGCCCTCGCACGGGGCCGGCGACATCAGCCGCAGCTCCAGGCAACGGAGCCACGCGTCCAGGCGCTCAAGCAGCTCCTGGCGCTGCTTGAAACGCTTGCCCAGCTGCCCAGTGGGGTTCCACGGGGAGAAAAAAAGGCTCGCCTTCCCCCAAAAAGAAGGACAAAAAGGGTTGCCACTGGGCAACTGGGAACGAATACGGACACCGGCGAAAGGGAAGGGATGCCAAGCGGTGGCATGGGCAAGCATTGAAGCACATACCCCTGGCCCGGGTATATCGGCAGGCCTTTCGGGTTCATTTGCCCGAGGGGTATGTAAAAGGGGTTGTACAAGCACCCCCCCTCCAAACGGATGATTTGGAGTCTTGATTGAGGCCTGCCTCAACTAATCGATGTCTGCCCGGGTAAGGTTTGATGTGGCCGGATTCACCTAAAGGTAGGCACAATGCAGAAAGGCTTTACAAAGCATAGCCTTTGCTGCAAAGAAACAGGTTGCTCGATACAGTATGAAATGTTATCTTCTCTCAGCCGATTCTATCCCTCAGCGGACTCAAAACCAGTGCCCAAGTTTTCCAATATTACCCGCTAAACGACTTCTAATCCAATCCTACACAATGCTTGCTGGATGACTGATTCAGGGATCCTTACATTCTACACCTGAACATTGCAACTTGTAAATGATGGTTTCCCTTTATTTTGGTGTTGAAGAAGCCAAATGATTCAAATGGTGGCAAAATGAATTTATTTTAAGGAGCCCTGTGATTGGGCATGCCCAACTCTCACCACTGGACTCACCACCAACTTGTGTAAAACCTCCCTGGGGGACTCTTAAGGGGGGCCACTAGTTACTAGCCGTGATGATGATGAAATTACATGCAGCTTCCTTTGTTTGCCGTTACCCGCCGTTGCCCACCTCAGAAAAAAAGGGGGGAAACAAAGGAAAAAGAAAAAAAGAAGAAAGAAAAAAAGGAGGAAAAAAAAGAAGAAAAAAAAACGGGAAATAAACTCTCGTGTGTCACATCTGTGGCTTGTCCTTGACGTATTCGGTTGATTGTGTGTGTGTGTGTTGCTTGCTTGTTGAGTACCTTCCATTTGCTTAAGCTCTGGAAAAATAAAAACACATCCAATAGTGATAGATTCCCTTTAAAACCAACAGGGGAAAAACGTCATTTCAGCAAATGGAAGGTACTCGTTTTCTTTGCGTCCCTGCAAATGTTTGACGCTTCCCGGATCTGTTGTGTTTCTTTGGGGCCAGCCTTCCAAGTGTTGAGAGAAAAGTGCAGTGCCTCGCAGGCAATAGTGGTCCTAGTGCTCGCACGGCAAAGAAATGGGAATAGTTGCCTTCATGAAGCAAAGATCTGAAGTTTTGTGCTGGCACTTTGCCACTTTGCCCTTTTGCAATGCAAAAAATAGAAAGAGAGGCATACAGAAAAGCTGTCCAGCTGGCAACCGGCGACCGTGTTGTTTCTTTTTGTTGCAACTCTCTTGGGCTGGCGACCGATGTTTTGAGCCCATGGCCGCACTCCTCCTGGTGGGTTCGCAGCAGCTCAACCAAGCCCAGCGGCACCTCGGCTTCCCAAAGTGCAGACTTACCCCGTCCGCTCGGACCGCCCGGTCAGGCGCCGAAAAGACCGCCGGCCATGAGCGAACTAAGCCACGAGCGACTTTGTTCTGGCCATTGCAAAAAAATCGAGCGACCAGAAAGGCTACCAGGGCCCGGAAAAAGTCAAGCAGAGCAAGAAAAAATCCCGCAAGAAGCAGATCCTCCCAATTACCCCCATGCCGAAGGACGAAGGCGGTGGGCGGTGGGATGACAAATTCGCTCAAAGCGAAGAAAGTCAAAGGAGAAGGCCCCAGGCTCTCTGGCAAGAAACACCAAACTAGACCTCACTGCCTGAGTAGGCGGCTCGCTTTTATTTCTACCACTAACATGGTCCAAACCCAGAAGTGGACCACTTCCTGAGTAGGTGGCCCAGAAAAAGCAACCACCTTGTTTTTAACCACTAAAATGGTCAAAACCCAGAAGTGGACCCAATCAACCGCCAAGGATCATCATCTGGGATGAAGCTGATGCCCAGGTCTTTCTGCATGCCGTTCATTCGGCCCTCGGCCCGAGGCCCTCTCAACCCTGAGCCGGGTGTTTGCGCGCGACACGAGCGAGACCTGAAGCACAGAGAGCGGAAGAGTGCCCTTGCCCGGCCCAACTTGAACTCAGCCCTCTTGAAGCTATGCGCTCAGCTCATTTGACCAAAGTGAGGCGCAACAGAGTTTCTTTTTTCCTTATGCTTCTCCCTGGTTGGATGGTGGAAAGTGCCGAACCTGCGCCGCTTTTGAGGTGAGAGCCACTCGACGCCGGGGAAAACTTGCCTTGCCCCAAGCCGGAAGCTCGGTCTGACGACTCAACCCCCATGCGCCTCGGGCGTATGCGGGATGTGGGGAGGGACTAAGCATGAGTCCACCGGAGGGCCTCCAGCGACGGAGAAACCAATCTTGCTTTGCTGGTGCGAGAGAGGCAGGATGAGGCAGGGAATGAGAATTGGAATGACCCATCCTCTATGGTTTCCTTTGAGGGGATCGATCCCTAGCTTCATCCCCTGATTCACTAGCCATCGCGCCAGCGAGACAAATCCTGGCAGCAAAGCTCGACAATTACTTTGAGGCCCAGCTCCACCGATTGCGACAGCCCCATGATCTTTCTACGCGCGGCCCTTGCGGGCGTTGGGTGAAACAAACTCGCCGCCATCCAAGCGCCGGGGCGCTCGCCTCTAAGCGAGTGGCCAAGACGGAAGCCACAAGCCGATGGTGACCATAGGTGTCCTTTTAGGGGAAAAAGATGGGTGTCCCTGGTAGATGATTAAAAAAAAAAAAAGTAAACCAGGAATCGAAACCCCTCTGTTTGTCTACCAAAACGGAAAAAGACACCTATGATGGTGAGAGCTTGGAGCCTCACACCTGGAACAGCTTGCTGCCTGCCCTATTCTCCATCCTCTGCATGTTCTCGTCTAGGAGCTGGAGCTGCTTCCCCAGCTTGACCTGACGTTGGCGCTAGGAGGCGGAAAGTTTGCAATCATCATTGCGCTTGGTGATTTTTTAATATGAACGGTGATATACTTCATTGGGATTCTTACTTTTGGGCATATCTGACCCCCACCACCCCCCCCCCCCACACCACCACCCACCACCCCCACCCGCCCCCCCACCTTTACCGCCCCCCGCCCCCCGCCGTCAGCTGGCGCAAGGCGTAGAGGTCCGCGCTCTTGGCGGGGCCCTGGAGCTGTACGCACCTCTCGGTGAACTCGTCCACGCTGATGGTGTGGTCCCCGTCCGTGTCCTCAGACTCTCAGAACCAAAAAAATCCACCGGGAGGGCTGGGGAAAGACGAAAAAAGCTCAGGTGGTATAGGTGACCTTTTGGAAAAATGGATGGGTTTCCCTTGTAAACCACCGGAAGGCCCGGAGAAAAACATACCCCTTAAAACTCCAAGCAACCTGGGGGGAAGCTTTCATCTTTTACAGACATATAGCCCATGTTACCCGAAAAGTTGAGAAAAGTGGTGTTTTTAAGAGGTAAGGAGAAAAACGATAAGCTCAGGTCATATCCAACAGCATGCGGTGCTCTTCTTTGAGCTTGGGCCCGACCGCAGCCCGACCGATCCAAGCCTGCCCCAGCTCATCCCACCTTTCATGTTTCCGGGTCAGCTGGAATCTGTGGGGTGGTTCTCTGACGCTTTCGGCAAGGATGATGCGTGAGCAACTCACCGAGTTGCGCACGGCAATGACCTCTCACAGAACGCAAGGCGGCGAATCAACAAGCATTCTCTGCGGCCCCCAGCCTTCATTCTGTTTACGTTTCTTGCAACAAGCGACGAGTGGATACAGTATTTTTTCTCCGTCAGGTAGCTGGGTAACTTCGTCTGTTCGATGCCCAGAATGCAAACACGTGTGTAGCCCATACCGGGAGGGGGGGGTGAGAAATATCAACACCAAGATCCTCACCAAGCTTAACAAAAACCATTGTGATGCAAGCCTAGCCAAGCAACTAAAGGGTGCTTTGACCATGCAAGGCACACACACACACACACTGAAACAGCTAACAGTGGGGAAGGTTTCACCGCCATTCCCATGTGCACTCAATGCGTTGGCCCGAAACGCGAGGGGCATTTGTTCTCATTCTTTTTGGGGGTGCGCAAACAGGACATAAGAAGGAACCCCGCTCAAACAAAATGTTGTAGTTTGGTGTGCAGACGTTGGACGCGTGTGCCTTTCTGGGCCTTCTTTTTCAACCAGATTCGTCTGGGCGGAGCTACCGCCAAGCACCTGGCGGCAGTCATGTTCGCCATCTATAAAGGGGCTGACATAGTGCAAATGGGAATGGCGGTGAAACCTTCCCCATCCAATGCTAGCTGTTTCAGTGTGTGTGCGTGTGCCTTGCATGGTCAAAGCACCCTTCAGTTGGTCCCGCTAGCGTGGCCATCGTGCTCTTGGACCCCGGGCCAGGTGGAGCGGGTCCCGAGCCAGGCGGTTCACGTGCCGAGGCTCCAAGCTGGTGAACAGCGTCCAGGCGTCCGAGGCCCCGATCTGCAAGGACTCGAAGAAGGCCTTCACCGCCTCGTTTCGGGGCCGTTGGCCGCATCAGTTTCATGGCAATGGAGGCATGGCACCAGAAACAAAGTGGATAGAACCATTCCCTTTATGTAAGTAAAAGGAAAGGACCGAGCCAACATGTAGGAATTAAGGCTTCTTTCACCCAACTCGAAGCCAGGGAAATCCCAAATTGGGCAGTTTCTCTTTGGTTCAACTGCCCTTCAAACAGCCCCAAAAGGGGATCAAACAACACATGCTCGTATTGCGCCATGGCACAGCAGAGCGTTTTTGTCTATGTTGTTCAAGTCAACCACTTGTTGTTTGGATAACGGTATCCGTATACGGAGAACAGTAGTGCATATGTCTGATGGTAACTGTCCAAAAATAGCCTTGGATGTAGCATCGCGTTTCGGACAATGCAAAATATCCGTCATGTGTCTGTCTGAAAATTTTGGGGAGTGTTCCATTCATTGGTGAACTTCAAAAGAACCAACCAAGTTGTGGCATCATCGGTTCCGACAAGGGCCTTTCAACACCAGCCGAAAGAGGCCCCGTGGACGCCAGCCAAAGCAACATTCTAGGGATTGATTCCTGTTCCTTTCTTTTCAGCCATCGTTCTTTTCAAAAACCGATCGTTATTTTCCCAGGGTCTTTGGTGGTTTTCTAGAAAGAAGGATCCCTGGAAAGAATGGAAATGGAAGTAAAAGATTGCCATTCGATCACCCCAAAGCCGCCTCATCCTCAAACAGATTCTCGAAGTCCGTGAAGGTGATCTGCCCGTGCCCGCGCTGGTCGAACCTGACGCCAAACTGGCGCAGAAGGTGCCACTGCGTGTTGCCAACACGCAGTGGCAAACGCTGAGCCCTCCACACACCCCGCGAAGAAGGCGAACGGCTAACAGTTTGGTGGCGACGAATGGGCGAATTTCATGGTTGGTCCACATGGGCGACCACGTCGCAAACAAGAGTGCACACAGTATTCTCAAGAACGAGCTTATTGGCAGAAACTGTTGCGCGGGACTGGAACTCACACTCATCTGCGAAAACAAAAACCTGGCCAAGGCGCTGGTGGAAAACGGAGGACACTTGATCACGTAGCTCTTGCCGAGTTTGAACCAACGATTGCACTACCATTTCGTGGTCACTCTCCGCAGCCTTGATAGCTGAGTTGCAGAAGACTCCTGTCCTGGGCCACGTGCAAGACACATTTCGCGCGGAAAGAGGCGAGCAAAGAAGACCAAACAAAACTAACGGAAGGCGCCGGCCACATGCACAATGGAAAGCTGAAAATGCTGCCAGGCCGCATCACGTTTAATACCGCGAAGCTGCAGAATGCTATGTAAAAATGGAAAAGTTGTGCCCAGAAGTCTCCAAGCGGAATGCGCGTGAGAGCAGTGGAAGGCTCGTTCCATGTGAGACCATCGGAGATGCATTTAAACAGCGTCAGGCATGATTGGTACAACGTCCCAAAATATGTCGCGACATCCGCCAGCTCTTGCTTCTCCAAATCAGCACCAGCAGTTTGTTGCTCGATGATGTGGTCCAGCACCGCATCAGTAAACAAGATGCCAAATATGTAGATGATCAAGAACCTCGGCTAACCCACTGCGCTTTGGAGGTTTGGGGGGTGATTCTCCTTTTTGACCCAAGGCGGCCCCAGATAAAAACCAAGACACCAAGCGCAATAAGCGCGGCAAGTTGAATGAGCGTCGCCTACTAGATCCTCCAACTGTCAGCCACTTATTTGTGCTCTGACTCCTCATGATGATGGCGCTACCCCTGATCGCTCGCGCGGACTTTCGCATTGGGTCGCGTCAGACAGGCCGCCATGCAGCTGCAGGCTTTGGGCAACTTGTCATTCACATCCAACTCACTAGGCTGGGATTAGAACCCCGGCAACAGATTATCTTTTTTTGCCTGGTTAATGGAAAACAAAGGGACCCCAAAAAGCAAAAAAGCAAAAAGGGGAGCTAATTCTGGGGAAGTTCAGTTTGGAGCAAGCATTGCCTCTGGCACTGGGCTCTGTTGGCAGGACCTTTGTGAAATACCCCCTGGCTCCGATGTTCTTGCTTCGCGGCGCCGAAACCTGCCCCTCTTGGCTTGGCCTCGAACCAATTAAAAAAAACAAAAAACAAAACAGGGATTTAGACCTGTGAGGCTTCGAAGCCGGTCCCCCAGACCGCCGCATGACTCTTTCCAGCCAGGCGCCGCGCACGGTCAACACCAAGTCTTTCCGCTTTGCCCTTCACCCGACCCCTTCGGTTGGTCAACGACCTGTCTCGGCCACAGCGCTGAGGGACTCAGGACTCGCGCGCCGCTCTGCCGCCGAGCGTGCGCCGCAATGGTGGGTGAATGAGTGAATGCTTGTGGGGGCAGTTTGGGCCAAAAACAAAGCATCAGCGCTCATTCTTGATGCAACAAACAGTCTTCTCAATGTCCTGGGGTGCAGCAACGAGACAGCTCAAGTTCCGTGGCCTTTTCCACCAGGCCCACGTCCTGGGACAAGGACTTTCCGAATTGCGCAGCGAAACAACAAGTCTAAGAAATGCCTAGGCAGACCCCGTACGTGAGGTGCGCAGTTGTCATCATATTCCTTGCTTGCTTGCTTGCAGGCATATGCTCGCACGTGCTCGCTTGATCTAAGGCTGCGTGCTGACTTCTTAGGTGGCTATCTTGCCATTCGGGCGGTCATCTTGCTGTCCTGCTGTTCTGCTGTCTTGCCGTGGCAGCTTGCTGGCTTGCCGGTTTGCTGACTGGCCAACTCTGGAATCAGCCCCAGGCGACTCTCTGCTCCGAAGGCCCGCAACACAGTAATCTATACAGGGATTATCGCTGCGACTGCCATTCTGCACGCCATTCTCCCCTTGCAATGAAGCGTAATCTTAAAATATCCTTCGATCTGGCGTCATCAATCATCAGGCGTCGTCGTTGGTGGCTGCAAACTATCCAGCTGGGTGTCACTTTTTGGGGGACCCCCGAAATGGTGACTTTCCCTTTGTTTTCGCTACAAACAACACAACAAGGAAACACCAGATCCAGGCCTCGCCACACGTGGCTCCTTCCCAATGATTGGTCTTCTTTTGCCTCTGCTTCGACGGCGCTCAAATCAACAAATGGCTTTGAAAGAAGGCAGGCCTTTGGTCCTGGCAGGGAGGTGCCTTCCAGGGGACAAAGCTCAGGCTGATAAACGGCTCTTGCGCGTCTTTCCAAAAGCTTCGAGCCAATGGCTTGCGAGCCAGGACAGTGCCGGTGCTGCCCACGGCAATTCTGCACCCCGACACCTGTGATACATGACCCTCTCTTCGGAAGTGCAGTGCTTCCGCCAAAGATTCGTGGCAAAAGTCCGTACTCGCCATATGCTGCAGAGGGTTTGATATTGGGCATGCCTACCAACAACCTACCAATAGAACATGCTTGAGAGGGCACAATGAAAATACAAGCCCTCTTCAATAGTTCGGTCCATAGATCTCACCGATAAAGAATCCACCCCAAGCGAAAAACAAGAAGTATTTTCCGTGGACTTGTTAGAAGGAGTCCCAACTCTTTCTTCACAACTCAGTTGGTCGGTCTACCCACCCAAAAAAGAAAGGAAGACAAAAAAAAGCCGAAAGTCCAACTCGGGCTTTCGGAAAAACCAAAGCAAAGAGCCAAGGAACAGCAACAGTAGGGCCCAGAAGAGGGACCTCAGCGTGCCCACCAGGGAGTAGACCAGCGTCCTGCGCATTGAACCCAGGTCTGCTGGAGACTTTCAGAAGGCGCGGCCAACGGATATTATTTTTGGGGAAAAAAGGCGTCACTGCAACAAAAAAATACGGAGCAACGCTTCATCTTCAACCAAGTCCTCCCCGCATAAAACCTGGGATCCCCCTGGGACGGTCAGCTGATGTGTTCCATGGAATTTGTGTTTTGGATGATGCAAAGTCTTGCCAAGGTAAGCCTTGGACAGGTTTGCTGCTCATTCGGGGCACAGTCCCTGGAGACTTGGGAAAAACCACCGGAAGGCCCGGACTTTTGGCGTGGTGGAACCTGCCTGCCTCAAGGATCTGAAGAACTTCACCACGCGGATGATCCGCACCACCCGAAACAGCCGGCCAACCCTCAGCAGGCGCAGAGCCCGGAGATTGCTGTTGGCGCGGCTGGTGGTATCTCCTGACAAAGGGCGTCCCGAGCTTCTCACGGTGGATTGGCCAAAAACAGAATGATAAATGAAATTGGTAAATGAAATTTCTGACGGGGGGGTACTTCGTAGGTTTCATTTATTAAGGGTGGGGCCATCCAAAAACTGTCCAAACTGCTTGCCTTGCAAGGCAACGGCCCCAAGTGACTAAAGTCCTCCGGAAGCGAGGCGGGAATGAGGGGCATTCCCCACAAATCCACGCCCCCAAAATGTGGTGCCGGCGAAGGGGACCAAGAACTTTGCTTCTCACCCCTCAGCGCACCGAGTCGCAGACCCAAAGTCATTGGGCCTGAAAAACATCGCCTAGGACTGGGATAAATTCGCAGGTCTGGCGTACGTGGGGAGTCCTCGACCTTTTCCCCAGTCCTGAACTTTCTTGGGGAAAGTTCTCGGGATTCATGCGGAACCCAATTTTTGCAGGTGGCTCACTTAAAAAAAAAAAAAAAAAAAAAACGCAGCCACGGAGACGTCGGCGCTGCGTCCTGGGGACAGCAAGTCCACCACCAGCTCCACCCTGAGAGGCGACCATGCTGTGCGCAGGGCGGCCACCATGCTGACTGAGAAAGCCAAGGGGGGGTCCACCATTCACGCAATCCTTCACCTTTTTGGAGAATCAAAAAGATAAGGTTGACTCCGGGCTCGACATGTCACTGGGACAAATTTCCTTGGCAAAGAAAGGGTTGACATCGGGCAAATCCTATCGTGGTTGAAAAGCCGAACCGGTGGCTTGGTGAAGGCGGGGTAATTGCCCAGAAGAACCAGACCCCTTCAAATCCCAAGGAACCGGGCGCCAAACCACCAAGGGGGTACAAGAAGCGGCTGGCAGACTCGCCTCGATGGGGTTTTCTCGGCCGAGCGGCCAGGAGGAAGTCACCACAAAGCAGTCGAGCCAATTCCAAGACCAATCCTCCCCGCCTGGACGGGAGCTGTGTCATAGTCAAAGCCCGGTAACAAAATGGTCGTACTCCCAGAACCATGTCAAGCCAAAAAATATAAGAAGGCGGAAAGCCGCGGCTATTTATGGCAAGGGGATTGTCCCTTGCTAAGCTTCATCTACCGGGTTTTTGATTGCACGTGGCTCAGCTGGGAGGTTGGATGCGCGTCGTGTGAATCACGCGGGGCTAAGTTCCGGAGCTGGACGTCCGCAGGATGCAGCACGGCATTTTACAGACAACTTATCCAGGCAACAAACTCAGCCACATCCGGCCCAAAAAGAGTCCCACTTCGCCCGATCCACCTGCTTTGAGGACCCAGGCGAAACCAACCGCCGAGCAGAACACCCAACTGGCCCATGCAAATGAGCGATCAGCTCACAACACACCTCCGAGAGGCGCCAAAACCAAACAACAAAAAAACCTCCGCGGCCCAGGTCCCAACGGCCCCAAGTTTTCGCGGACCGCGCGGCTCAGATTTCGGGGGTTTTGGATGCCCGGGCAAAGGCATGCCCCCCTTCCAACCACCAGCTTATGTTGACCCCATATCAACCCCAGCTGATTGAGGGGGTGGTTTTTGGGTGAAATGTGAGAAACACCCCCGCCCCCCTATGAATAAACTGGGTCCAATCAATCCGGCTCCAAAACTGCACCCAGGCAACACCCTCCTAGTCATAAACTGGGGCTAACTAACCCGGGGTCGACATTACTTCGGTTTGTCTTTTGGAAGAAAAATAAGAAGAGAAAAAACAGGAGAAAGAAAAAAAGGAAACAAAAAGGGGGGAAAAAAAACACGACGCTTTGAGGAGGCGCAGAGGTAGTGCCGCAGTCCCTCAGCTGCCACGTGCAGGCAGACCTCCGCGGTGAAAAGCACCGCATAGATCACGTGCCTAGGTTAAACTGGGTGAAAATGCCCCCGGCCCCCTTTTGGTGTCCTTCCTTGGGTGAAATGGGCTTGCGTAGGTGGCCACCCCCGAAAACCCGAAAAAGATGAACTGGGACACGATCCGCCGCTGGCCGGCAGCCGCAAGGAGCTGTGCTCCTGCCCCCCCCCCCCCATAGCTTAGCAGAGCTGCACGGTCATGAAGAGGCTGGAGTTCTCCCCATAGGCCCGATTCACCGCGTTGACTTCCAACTGCACACCCAGGTACAGCGAGTTCGATACCTCGAGGGAACCGGGGAAAAAAAGGAACACGTAGGATTGCCGGGCCAACGAGAAGAAGAAAGAAAAACGCGCGATCGGCGATCGCGCCGCCAACTCCTGAAGTCGACCCTCCATCCGTGAGACCCCGTGGAAGGCCCATCGACTCGGCGGCTTTTTTCACTTGGCTGGAACTAGGACCCCGGCAAAATATATGTGTATATATATATATATCTATATATATATATATGTTTTGCCTGGTTAGTGGACAACAAAGGGACCCCAAAAAAAGCAAAAAGAAGCTCAAGATCAAAAAGGGGAGCTAGTTCCAGGGAAGTTAAGAGCCCGGGCGCCACGACCAGGCCGAAGAAGACATTCGCACACTGGGAGTTCAAGATCCTCGCGGACCAACGGCTCAACGCAGGGCACATTCCAGGAGGTCCCTCTGGCTCCTGAGCGATGGAAGCGCTTCCATCGGATCGGGGATGTTGGTCAACTCAAAGAATTTTGCCCACTGACCCCCAGACCAAACCCCGAAGAAATTGGACAGTTGAGCCTTACTTAGGGCGGATTTACCCCTACTTTGCTCTTATGTTTGGCTTATCAAGGGGTATGTTCCAGGGGTCTGGTGGTGCACAACCTTTGATCAACCCCTGCGCTGCTTCATCCCATGGTCTCCGCCGTTTGTCCCAGGCAGTATGTCATAGGTATGTATGTATGTATGTATGTATGTATGTATGTATGTATGTAGATTGGGGGGGGAGAAAAAGAGAGAGAGAGAGAGAGAGAGAGAGAGAGAGAGAGAGAGAGAGAGAGAGAGAGAGAAGGACAGAGAGAGAGAGAGAGAGAGAGAGAGAAAGACAGAGACGGAGAGACGGGTTGACCAATATTCCTACCATGGGTAACTTTTGGCATTGTGAGTCAAGACAAGCCCAGCAGTCCATCTTTGGCCCGTCCTCGTCTAGGCTTGCCTTGTCCTGCTCTGCAAACTCCTCGTTCATACGATGCCCCATCCGTCTGGCCTACGCCACGATTCGAGCGGAGGGGGGGGGCGGGGGCTCCTTCCCGCCTGCGCGCGTGCGTTGCGCTGCACAGCTATCAAGGGAATGTCGCACATGCGCCTCAAAAATATGGGTGAATTATAATATTTCACCTGCCTGAAACTTGCGGTGGTTGGGGGGCTATAAACCACAGCCTTGCATCTCCCTTGTATATCCCAGACGCAGGTTCGTCCCCACAGTTTGAGGTTTAGAGGACCATGCTGATGGGCACGTCCTCGCGGGCGCGAAGATATTTCCCATCAAACTGCAACCCGTCAAACTGGAAAATGAGAACCTTCAATCTTGGCTGGAATTAGGACCCAGCAAAAAATTATCGTTTTTGCCTGGTTAGTGGAAAACAAAGGGACCCCAAAAGAGCAAAAAAATGGAACTACTTCTGGGGAAGCAATAAGTTACTGGCTAAGGCTGCTACAGAACTTCTTGCCAAAGGACAAGGGGTTGGGGACTTCTTCAGGCGACCTGCGGTTGCTCAGCCAGCTCTACCACATCACCCAGCCGTCCAAACCAACTCAACCAATTCAACCAACTCAACCAATTCAACCAACTCAACCAATGCAACCAACCAACCAACCAACCAACCAACCAAACAACCAAACCAAACCAAACCAAACCAAACCAAACCAAACCAACCAACCACACAACCAGCAAACCACCCAACCCAAACCAAACCAAACCAAACCAAACCAACACGTTACCTCGCACAGCTCAAGCTTGCAATTGCGCCAGTTCTCAGGCCTTCCTTTCTCATTGGACCGTCAGGCCGTCAGGTTCCATGTTCGCGCGATACCTCCGAACCTCTCTCCCACGTGGCCATGGCCCTCCAATGGAAACTGATATTCCAGAATGCCCTCCCAAGGGTGCCATGGCAACGTAGGAGGAAGGGTATTCCTGATCAACTCTGATCAGTCCCGACTTGGCTACGGAAGGATGCGCTTTGAAGAACGACTGGCTTGCATCGCGGGCATTCAAACTCAACGCACTGGACGGTGTGCTCAGCAAAAAGTGTCAGTCCACGCCAGCTCGAGTCCAAAAGATTCATCGCGCTGCATAGCACACATCCCCAAAAAGGTTCACCCCAGCGCCCCTCCACCCCAGCGCCCCCCAATAAAAAAAAAACCGCACAACGAGCTCGGGGCCCCGATTTTTCGGGGTCCCCTGCCTCCCGCTCCCCGAGGCTGTCCATGCGAGACAGCTGCGGCTTGCTGGAGATGCGGGGGGCATCTTGGCTCTCGTCCATGGAGATCTCCGGCCTGGCGCACCGGCGCCGCGCAAAAAAAATCCCCAGGCGGAGGCCGCCCCTTTTCGCGCCGAAAGCGCGTGCGCCAACCGCTTCGCGACAAGCGCCTCGCGCAGGAAAAACGCACGGACTCAAAGGGAAAACAGGAGTTGGATCAAAAGCAAAGTCGGAGGTGATTTGAAGTTGGGGTTCACTGTTTTCCTCGTCCTGTTACACACACCTTGGACCTGACAGTTGGATGAAAGCAATTAGACTGTGGTTGTTGCCTTTATGCTGGTAAGTATAACGACGATCTGCCAGCTTTTGTCAACCCAGAAGAAAGGCAGCGGTTTCTGGATGCCACCGATGGGAAGACCACAAATTTCAGACAAGAGCCTCCTGCAGCTTGGGCCGGCTTGCCAAATGTGCATGTTGTCCATATTCATGTGCATGATTAATGCCTCTACGCTTCTGCCCCTGCCTCTGCTCCTGCCGCTGCAGCGATGCACAGGCACCCGGCTGTTGGAGCAAACCGTCCTCGGTTGAGTTGGAGTGCGAGACCATGGGTAGCAGTTGGCTCTCGGAACACTTTGAGTAAAGGGCACCCTTGTGACCAATTCGAATTTCCACCCCTGTTGGAAAACAATTGCGAGACAAGCATCTGTAACCGTAACCCATCAGGAGGAGCAAGGATTGCCTTTGAACAGCTTAGAACCGCCCAACAACAAGAAAGGATCAACATACATCAAGATACAACGATATTATACATATCTGCATCTATAAATAGAATATATATATATATGTACATATACATATGTAGACAGGTGCATGAAGGAATGAAGGGCCAATGTTGGCAAGAGTTTGTCACAACCTCAAGCTGCACCTGCCACGGAGGCAGCGGCCTCCCTCGTGATTCGTCTGGATCTCGCGCGCCGGGCGCCGGGCGGTTGAGTCAACCGGCATGTCCGGAGAAAAATACCGCGTCGTCTTCCACGTGTTTCTTTGCGAGCGCCGGGCGAGATTTTTGTTGGATCGCTCGTTTTGCGCAGCCTGGCCAGGGCGCGAGGGTCTCCAGCCACGCGTCCAGCCGCTCCAGCCGCTCCAAGACCACTGCGCTGTGCTTGGCCAAGACGCCCTCCAGGACCTCGCGGGGAGTCCAACGAAGCGGCCCGCGGACGGACCGCGCGCGAAGCTTTGGGCGGCGTTTGGAGGGTACCCACCTTTTGGGTGGCGTACAAGGAAAACGGAAAGAAGCGACTGCAGCCATTTGGGGGAATGCACTCCCTACAGTTACAGTAAACAAACAAATAAGAATAGAAACAGCACGCCCAAAAGGAAAGCTTCGAAAGGGGTTTGGGAGGGGATGCTATCTTACGACACTACTTGGTGACTCGGCCGGTTTTTCTCGGGTCCCGCCTCCGGCAGCGCCTGGAGCGACAAAGGCTCCTTCTCCTCGCAGGCCATCCGCTCGATCGATGCGCGCGAGAGGCGGTGAGGCAGCCAGCCTTGAGCCCCAGCTGGCGAAGCGGCGCGGCGCGGATCGGAGCCATCACTCTGGAACCACGCGGCCATGGGAGCCCTCGAAGTGTTTTTTTTCTTTTTTTTGGTATTGCACCCTGGGGATACACCCACTATCCACCCCATTTAGGCACATGTTTGAACCATTCTGGGTCAATTCCCAAGGGTGTAACCCCAAGGCGTAATACAAAAACCCTCAGAAGCCATGGGTCTACAAGAAAACTACGGGTCATTGAGAAAAAAAGGCCCCCTCTCCCGGGCTTTTTCTTTTGCCTTCCTCTGCTCCTTGGAGCAGAAGCCTTCTCCCGCCTCCCTTCGGCAGCTTCCCTCTTTCCACGTTCTGCCCCCTGCCCGGTCCCGTTCCCTGAAATATGTTCCATTCATGCGGGCAGAACGCAAAGCGACCTCTGCAACGGCAAGCAAACTGTGACGCGAGTGCTTACCAACGACATGGGACAGTTGATTCAGATTCTCTCACTGACCACCAGCCGGTGTGTGCCATGTAGTGCTCAATTCCCCGCTACATCGTCCCGTTTGCCCGTTTGCCGTCACAAAGTTGCCTTGGCTGAGAAGCGCAAACACCCCTATGCTTGCAGCGGGCTGTTCGTCACATGCGCGGTCAAAAAGTAGTACAGTGTCAAATGTCGCATCGATCAAACAAACAAACAAACAAGCAAGCAAACAAACAAACAAACAAAAGATGACGAGGAACCTGCGGACAAGCTAAGGACCCGCGCCCGGCCACTGCAACTCCTGCGCGGAATGGAACACTGCAAAGTACCGACACCCCCCCGAACCTCGGACCCCACAAGGACCAAGCTCCGCGGTATCTCCGCCGTATCTCTGGCGCGCGGTCACCGTGCGACATTGCGGGCCGAAGGTTCGGGTCATTCCAATTGCGCGGTTCCCTGAGGGCCTCCTGACCTACATCTCCGCTATGCCTTCCGCGCGGCATGGCTCTCATGTAAATTCATTGCAGCGACCACCCTGGCAGACATATCGCGCGTCAGGAGGTGTCCCTTTGCCAGCGGCTATGTGCACAAGCCCGACTGACACACGTCGCTTTCCTGGTTCGCAGCAGGGAATGAGTTGGAATGACCCCTATAAACCATCCCCTATGGCTTCCTTTGGGACTCCCCTTCCACCAGTTCATGCCCCCAAAACCCGGGGCTCGGCAAGTTCCAAAAAAAAAAACGGCCTTAGGGCTCCCAAGGCCTAAATCTAAAACCACGCAAGTTCTCGCCTCACGTTGTTTTGCCTGAAAAAATCCCAGGGCCCCGCGTCCATCCCCATCTTTCCCGAACTTTGAGGGATTTTGCAAAGGGACTGTCCCAAGGCCGGGCCCCCAACCCCAGCCCAGCGTCTTCCCTGAACATCTTCCGGAGGAGAGACAGGATCCCCTCCAACAGTCGCATGGACCTCTCGCCCTCGTCGCTGCCGTGTCCCGGCCTTGAGCGTAAAGCTGCTGCGCAGCGTGGACTCCGAAGGCCCCAGCGCGGTGAAGGACACGGCAAAAGGCCTGGAGCTTGACTTCAAAACCCGGGGACACCGAAGGGACCCACAAAAAACAAACACTCATTGTGGGGGCCCCTAAAATGTACATCTTAGGGGAAGGGGCTGGTTGAGGGGCACCAAATCTTGGGGTGGGTTTCTGGGAGTGCTAAGGGAAACTCACCATGAGCGAGGGAAGCTTTATGCACACATGGCTGGGGAGAGGTTGCATTCCAGGAATCCACACTGTGAAGTCCTTAGCTGCTAGTTGCCATTCATGAATTCTAGGTTTGTTGCCGGGTCCTTTGTCCTCATCTCTGAAACAAAATGACTAGCAACTATGAGCCTGGCACCTCTGCCTGCTTGTCTTCCGGTCGGACGTGCCGGGAATGAGGAAAAAGCAACCCCCATTGCCCATAGGTGGCCTTTTGGATAAAAATAGATGGGTTTCCCCTAGTAAATGGAAGCAACCCCACCTAAACCAGTGCCATCTATCTGGGTGAATTATAATATTTCACCAACCTGAAATAAGGTGGTTGGGGGCCTATTCCCCACATAAACCACAATTTGGGGCGAGGTCGTTATAATTCACCCAGGTCTATTTTTAATCAAACTAACCTAAGAAGGACACCTATGGCAACCCCAACTTCACATTGCCCCCAGGGCTCGGGGCCCGGCGAGCTCAGCACGCGCCGCTCCTGCCCGGGGTCCTCAGCTCGCAGGGCCAACCCAAACCTCCCCCCTGGAAACCCCCCGCCCGGCCAAGCTGTTGCCCAACCCCCCCCTCCTAAAAAAAAACAAAAACAACCCCCCCCCCCCACCCCACCCCCTCTGCTCCCCCCCTCCCTCCCCCCCCCCCACTCACTCAGGGATCGGCCAGGCGCGGAGCGCCTGGACGGGCAAGAGGGTGCAGAAGCACCCTAACCGCCTCTGGAATCCCAGTTTCTGCGATAGTTTGGTCCCCACCAAAATTGGTCTTGGACCTCTTTTGGAGTGTGTTTTGGGGCTGTCCCCTTGGACGCACCCAGGTGAGTCTTGTGACTGCAAGCCACTGCCCTCCGACGAAACGTTCAAAGGCTGTCTGCTCAAAGGACTTTCCAGGGTTGGTTTAAACCTGGAGCGCAATGGACCATGAAACCCGTTTTGCAGTCCCTGAGATGGGCTAGGCAATCGAACGGTTCGACCAGGAAACCAGAAGGCCAACCATTTGCACACGCCAACTTCGGGTGCAGCCTCATCGAGTTTGCTTCCCACGATACTCAAGGGGGAAACCACGCCGGGGAGTGTTCCCCATGAAAAATATGTAAGCGCCAAGCGCCCTTACTTACCCGAGGCACATGCTACGGCGCAGCCAAAAGCAACGGAGCACGACCAGGCCTGCTGTGGTTGGCGTACTTGGCTGTCGGCGGCCCTGGCTTTGGAACCGCGCGGCAGGCTTTCGATGCGCGGGGCTTACTCCGGGAGTCCTTCGCCCAAACATGCCACCCACAGTGCTTCAGATTCCCCAAGGCCCGCGAAAACTATGGCAGACCAACGCAAGGGCAGACGCAAAAGCGACAACCGCACTCCCAACGGCATTCACCCACACCCAATCCACTTGCGCTTACCAAGGCAAGCGTGGAGAAGCCCAAAGCCCAGCGCACGGTGAAGCATTCAGACGATCAAAGGGGTCCACTGGGCTTCTGTCTGGCTTCGAACGTGGGAGCCCGGGAACCCGCCTGCGGCAAGCCGGCAAACCTCGGGCGCTCGGCGGCTCTGCGCACTTCCGGCTCGGCAAAAGTCGAGCCAAAGCATGCAACCTTGCAAGTCCCTGTTGACGTTGGAAGGGGAGCAACAAATTAAAACTTGTAGCAGTTAAGTGGGGATTTCAATAAGCCAAAATGCAAACTGTTTCCCAACAACAACCATGAAGTAGGCCAACATGCATCAGGAGGTGGACACACACCCAGCCTTTTTAGGCCTCCCTTAACAAAAACCCCGGCGACACATCCGGACGTTTCTCGGATGATCTGCGCAGTCCGCCCAGGCTGTCAGATCCGGCGACCCCGCGCCCAGCCTGGGAGTCCAGTCCAGTCGGGGGGGGGGGGGGTCCTCCTACATGTTGCAAGCAGGCCAACCAAAACCAACACAAACTTGCAAACATGTCCTAGGGTGTCCAGCAGCCATGATACATGTGTGTGTGTGTGTGTTTATGCTTGTACCTAGCTGTGCGGCACTCAGGATTCAAACATGCCCTAGTCCTTCTTGCGGCATTTGGAAAACCAACCAGTTTGTCACGCGCCTTGAAATGAGTCCCCTGCTGACGGATAGCTGATTTCGCTGGCAAACAATCCCTAAGATGGCCCTAGCCTCTGCGGCCAGCAATTGGCGACTTGCCACCCCCCCACCCCACCCCACCCCACCCCACCCCACCCCACCCCACCCCACCCCACCCCACCCCACCCCACCCCACCCCACCCCACCCAAGAGGGCAGTTATCAAGATGGCAAAAGGAAGGGAGTCCTTCCGAATGAATCGCATCCCCACCATGGAAAACGCCCAAGAATCCGCCATCACTATGTTGACTGTTTCTGGGGCTCTCAAAGTCAGAAAACGTGGCTGTTTCCCTTTAACTCACCACTCAGTCAATGACTCTGATCATGGCAAAATGAGGCCAGTTAATGTTGACCCCGGATTAATAAACCGGTTTATTAATAGGGGGGTGCTCACCTCCAATAGTGATGACTCTCCACTAAAACAGGGCACCCCCTATTAATCAACCAGGGGTTTATTAATCCGGGGGTGCCCATGTTAACCCCGGATTAATAAACCCCTGGTTGATTCATAGGGGGGTGTCCCCTTTTAGCGGGGATTCATCACATTTGGAGGGAACACCCCCCTCATAGTGGGACGGGTTTGTTAATCCGCGGTGCCCATTCCAGGCACGTCCAACACACCGCCTGGCCTCAGGCAGCGCGCCAAAGCCGCCGTCAGCTCCGCAGGCAGCGCCTCCACCGCTGCGCAGCTGCGACCTACGCAGTCCCCAACACGATCCCCCCGTCCTCCCGCAAACATACGGCACCTGCGGGAGGCCATCGGGTCGATTTTTTGTCATCGGGACCAGGTAGGTGCCGTAAAAACCTGAGAGGGAGCGTACCCTGAAGAATCGACCCTCAGAAATATGACTGCGATTTCCCGTTGAAGATGCTTCCCTCGGTCCCAAAAATCAAAATTGGGCTTCTACCCGTTTTCCGACCCCACGCAGAGACCCTAGTCGCCCTTTGCACGTTGCAAGCCGAATGTTGCGCTCGTGCTGTCCCCTTTCCTATGTTCACACGGAATCTGAGTTGCCTTGAATCCGACATCGATCGCAGCGGCCGTATTCAAGCCTGCGGCAACGAACGCCAAGCGGTACCTCGGCGCTTGCGAACTCACTTCGTCGTGTCCCCCCAACTCGCTCAGGAACGAAGCAGCCAAACATCAGAAGGCTTTGGGTCAACATTAGGTAGCCACAATGGCTTGCCCGGTTAAAAGAAACCCTGCGGACATTTAACCGTCCATATCCTGTTGGTGACTACCCTCCCACCCATTCACGTTGAACCCGACGTTTGGGGTCCTTCCTAAAGGGATCCACTGTCAAGTTCCCTGTGAATTGGTGGGAGGGTCATTTTGACCTATACAGGGATCCTTACATTATACACCTGAACATTGCAACTTGTAAAGGGAGCTTTCCCGTTATTTGGGTGGAAAAAAGAACATGGTTGCAAGATGTATCTTTCAAGGAGCCCTGCTATCGGCCATACGCGGACCACAAAACCCAATCACTGCATCCCGCTGCCGGTGCAGAAAGTTCCTGGAGCACCAGGATCCATCTTCCATCGTGGTCTCGCTTGCCTCAGCTAAGGGGCGGTCGGCTTCTGTGAAAGCTGCGAAGCCAGGCGAGCCAAGCTAGGAAACTTGTAACCAGTTGAGGAGCAATCCTAAACTCAGGCAGCCAGGGGCCGCAATGAGACTTGGTCTTCCGTATTCCTTGTTTGACGGACTGCCATGCACCTCCTGCATTCACCTCAGTTTGCCACATGCTCGACACCTGGGCTTAGCGCTACTAGGAATGGTCATCGATCCTTTCCTGAAAGTTTAAACAACCATGATAAGGATTGCCAGTAAGGGGAACAGCTGTCAGGCCAGCAGTCACAACAGTTGGCCGTGGGGTGGCTCCCAGTCAGGGACCACGGGAGTTGCCAGATCCAAGTCAGCCGTGAACAGGCGCCAGCGCTGCACAGCGTGAGGGTTGCAAACCACGTGAGGCCCCTGACTCCTTCGAAGTTGCCGCGCTGATGGCCGGGATGGGTGGTTCAACTCATGCAGCCAGCAGCTGCAGCCAGCTGCAGCCGGGGTGTGGAGGTTGAGTGAGCTGCGAGCGGAGGGCAGCAGGTAGTTCTACGCAACATGCGTGACCAGTGATCATCGAGGTTGTCGTTTTCAAGGCCCCACAGCCGGGCGCCCACGAATCGCCCGCAACCAGCGATGCATTCTAGGGGTTGATTTGTTTTCCTGTCCCATTCTTTTCAACCATCGTTCTTTTAAAAAACCGATGGATTTTTTTCAACCGGGGTTTTGGGTGGTTCTCTAGAAAGAAGGATCCCTGGAAAGAATAGAAAAGGAAGCTACCCTTAGATGCATGCATTGGTCATAAGCCTAACCCAAAGTCTGACTTGTGGATGCTGTGGCTGTTCTGGACGCCCCGGTGTGGTCGCTCAAAGTTGCAGCTGGAACACCGGGCGATGGTGACAGCTGCGTCGGGCAGAGCCCCCGGTGCAGCTCGAGTCATGCGACTCGTGGGCTTTCAAATAGATACCAAGGCCTGTGCCAAGTAACATGGCTAAAGGTAGGAGGTGCAGGCCCAAGACAAACACTTTCTGAGCAAAGCAGCGGTTAGGCTGCTACTTAGGGCGGAAGCGATGGGACCCATCTCCCCTGGAGGTTCCACAAGCAGCCCACTTTTAATGCCTTTGCCGTGGCATGAGAACAGGCACATTGCTATTCCTGAAAAAAAATGGAGAAAAAGAATGAAAAAAAGAAAAATGCTATTCCTGAAAAAATAGAGAAACAACAAACAAAAAGTCGGAGTTCAAAGACGTGGCATGCACGAAGCTGGGAAACCCCACAAGCCCAGGCGCGGAGCTCGCCAAAAGGCACCTGGTTTTTCTTTTTCCGGCAGGCAAAGGCAAAGCAATGCTTGAGCTCCGCCCGGATCCATTCCACTTCTGAACAAAGTGCTTGCGAGCTCTTCGGAGCAATTCCGGCGGATGTCTCCGGCGACGGGAAATAGAGACAAAGGCAGCGTTGCTGGTACTTTGACCCCTACGCTGGTGCCGGACACCACTCAAAGTCGCGATCCGCGTCGCGGCTGCGGCGCCTGATCCGAACGAATAGGGCAGACGCGCATGGCTCATGGATTTATGCTGCAAGTCCTGCGCGGGGGACGCCGCTTGCAACTCCGCCTCGTGCTGACAGATGTTTAAGAACAAGAAGACCCTGAGCAGCGACCACAGCCGCGACAGACTTGCCCCACGACTCCGATGGACCTTGAAAGAAAGGCTAAGCCTTTGGAACCTTGATTGAACATGACCAACATGGGAACACGCGGCGAAAGGCCCATTCACCTTGAGCAAGTGGGGGGCCTTGGGGGGCGGAGTTGCTTGGGCCAGTTGCGTCTTGCAACCCGGCCCGAAACGCCAAAAAAAATCTGCCGAGGGGTGGAAACGCATCGGTTATGCGCGACTCTGGCGCTCAGGCTGCCAGCGGGCAGCGCCCTGCCGGAGCGAAGTGCGGATCTGCAAGCCCGCGGGTTTTTTAATCCCCATCCCACCTCACTCACCACCCCCCCCAACTTATCAAACTTATCAAAGGGATCCGACATGGGATTATAGTCCCTCAGTCTGAAACCGGGACCTGGACAAATCTTTGTGTAACGAGGAGAAACCCCTGAAAGGCGTGTTGATTTTGAGAGATGTCAGATGACTCCGCCCATGCCCGAATCGGCAGGAACAGGAAGGGTGAGGCAAATGAATGCGCCAGCAAGGCTCCATTTGCAGCACGTGAGCCTGGAGCCGAAGTGCAAGTGACCAAAGCAAGAAGGGATGTCCAAAAATGGAGGGAGCCCCTTTCTTTTGGTGGCTTCAAGGGCAACCAACAGCAAAACCACACAGTTTACTTGTTTTGCTTGATTGGTTGATTCTATTCATAGATGTATTTATGATATTATATCCTCTCTTCTTTTTCTTTTTTTGGGGGGGGGGCAAAACCCCCCCAAAAAAAAACACAAAAAAAAAAAAAAAAAAAAAAAAACCCAACAAAAAAAACACCCATAAAAAAAGACATTCCGCCGCCGGACGCCGACCTTCCCGCGCCTAAGAAAAGACCTCCTTGGCCTTGCTCTGAGGCCGCGAGCCCTGGGCACTGAGCACGTCCCGCAGCAGCGCGCTCTTCCGGCGCCGGGGCGGCTCCAAGGGCAGGAACTCGGGGGGCGGGCCCCAGCCTGGCGCGCGACAGCGGTGTTGTGTGTCGTTTGTTGTTGCTGATATGTTCTTTTTTTGTGTGTGTGTGTGTTTGTTTGTATTTTTGATAAATGTACATAGAGAGAGAGAGAGAGAGAGAGAGAGAGAGAGAGAGAGAGAGAGAGAGACTTATTTATATGTACACACCACTTTTGATTCCCCGCATCTCCGTTTCACAACTTGAAGATGGATCAACCTCAAACAGGTTTCTTGGTGCCATGACACCCAGAAAACCAAACCCATCGATCCAATTCCGGAGGATGGATTTCGCCTTCCGCCTATCACTCACTCCCCCCAGTGCCGATGCCAAGCCTCACTTGCCCCTTAAGGGCCTGGAAGTAAAAGCTGATCACCTTTTGGGACCTCTACTAAAAATGGGAACCCAAAAAGGGGAAAGCCAAAAGGTCAGATCCGGTCGATTCGCTCTGAACAACTGAGACGCGCAAAGAAAACCCTCCCAGCCCCTGGAAGCTCCAGCCCGAAGTGAGCTGTGTCCATTCCGCCGCTCGAGCCCGCGGAGGGGGGGGGTCAAGCGCCGCCTGCGGGGCAACCCGTCGCAGCCTGCGATGGCCGCGGCTGTTCACGGAGGCGCGCGCTCTTTTTCTGTACAACCTGCTGGTGATGATGAGCAGAGGGGCAGGGAGGAAGAGGAGAAAAGGAGGAGGAGGAGGAGGAGGAGGAGGAGGAGGTGGAGGAGGTGGAGGAGGTGGAGGAGGTGGAGGAGGTGGAGGAGGTGGAGGAGGAGGAGGAGGAGGCGAAGGGGAGGAGAGGAGGAAGAGGAACAGGGCTTCAGAACGAAGTTATCTCATCGTTCCTCCAACCCCTCCCAAACGCGTCTGGCCCCCGCCTGGTGGCAACGGCGAATTGAAGACGAACTTTCCGCCTGGCTTTCGCCTGGGCTTCGAAACGCCCTCATCATCCGGCTTCCGTCTACAGTAACTGGTGCTTTGGCTTGGTTTGGATTGGTTTGGCTTGGTTTGGCTTGGTTTGGCTTGGGGTTTAGCTATCCTAGCCTGAATCAAGACCCGGGGGTTCAAACTTCAACCCCTCCCCCCCGCCCCAACCACCAATCCAAATCCCCAACTAAAGGTGACCTGATGAAAGGTGACCTTTAAACCCAAACAAGCCACCGAGAAGCCTGATGAATGGCCAATTGGAACGCCTTCCCCTGAAGCCTGGGCATAAGCCCGCTGGCTGTTTCCATCTTGATCCGGCTTGAACAAGTTAGAGGAAGAACATCCTGACCTTCAGGTACCGAGTCGCTCTCGGATCCGCTCGATGTGGGTATCCTCCGCCTTCCGCATTCCTCGAGCACTTGGGTATCTGAGGAAAACTTTCTGCAGTGTCTTCCCGCCCTCTTTGTTTCGTGTGCGTGTGCTTGGTCTAGTGCGTTTCTACATTCTAGCAGACCCTATTTTTTGTCGCTGGTGCCTTTTGGGTGCACTATGGCTACCTACCGCAAATGAAGGGAGCCCAGCAACAGTGCGACTCTCTTCAAAAGGTCCACTTCCCAAAAAGCAAACCCTTGCATGGCCCGTTCCCCTTGAATCTTTTCTCTCCAGTCTGCCCCTGCCCTCTCTGGAGGCTTCATTGTTTCCGTGCATGGTAATGTCAGGCCACGAGGTAACATGCCGCCACATGTTCGACATACCTGGAAGCGTCCTGCAACACATTGCGGGGCATTGCGCAATATGTAAGGCAAGGTAACATATAGCACGAGCGACGCCATCGTTATGTGAGGTCATTTTAGCATACTGTGGTGAAACGCTGTGAGGCTTCGCGTAAAACGTGCGACCAAGTACTGAAATGCAGTCAAATAACGTCCCATCGTGTAACGCAATGTAGAGCAGGGCAGTCTAGCCGAGTAGCAGCATGCGGGTGAATATGCATGTCCAGGCCCTACTAAATTCATATCCCGGCGATGCTGCCAACAAGAAAATCCGAAATAGGTTTGTTGATTGAGGTTGGACACGAATCATCAATGCGCACATGTCTCGCGCTGATGTTGGCAGGGCACTCTGCTAAACGCTCAGCAGGCCTGCAGGCAAAAATGGGCTCTGCCAAAGCTGGGCGATGTTACAACAGCGCGCCGAGCTTCGCATTCTCCTCTGCAAGGCTTGCAAAACTCGTGCATCATGGCAACACAGTGCAAGTCGCAAGTTGCATTGTTGGGTGATGATGGCGGGCTTTGCCCAGCCATGCTCATCGCTGCTAATACACACAGAGGCAATAATAACAATCCCCATCATCGTCATAAGCACCATCTTCATCACTGCGGTCGCAGAAAAATCATCATCAGCAGCAGCAGGACATGTGGTTTTGATGACGCAAGCCAAACCCACCCCACCCACCCCACCCCACCCAACCTCTACTCCCAGACCTTCGTTGCCCGGTCGAGGCGCTTGGGCTCGAGCCCAGCCGTGCCCCTGCAGTGATCTTCGCCTGGGCCGCGCGCTGCCGCGCGCTCATGGCTTTCTGCATGCCTCAGTCGTTGGCTCGAGGGGCCCTGCTCGCCCACATTTTCAAACATGCAGCACTCAAAAAAGCCCAGGAACAGCAAAAAAAAGTCCCCTGGGCTGAAACCGAAGGAACCGCCTAAAGCTGCGCAGAGCGTCGGGGGTTCTGATCGAATATCAATGAAAACACGGTGGGCTCATTTCGCCAGCCGATGCCCGAGCTCGCAAGCCGCCTGGCTATGTGGCTGGGCCTTCCGACGCAAACCAGCCCAATGCCAAATAACCTCCAAGCTGAGAGATATGTGTGTCCACATATATATATATATAGGAGTGTCCACAACCTTCCCGCTGGAGCTCAACCAGGCCAATCCGGAGCCCTTTTGTCGGCGCACCGAGAATCCCCCCCAATGGCGCCCAGGTACGATGCGCAGTCCACTCCACCTTGGAGATGCCCAGCTCTTGCCAAGTGAGCCTCAAGCGGTCCACGAATGGAAATGCCCGGGGCCTGTTGGGACGGACTGCGCAAAGGCCCCATAGCGCCTAGTTCACCCGCGGTGGTTGTTGTTCGTCTTACACCAGACTCTGCCATGGATGGGGGCAGCTCATGGAAAAGGCAAGCCTCCCGAAATCGGAACGAGAACCACATTTGTTTATGGGTGTGCCCCGGATCGATTTGTTTAGCTCCTACAGCGAGCCCTACACTCCTAGGATACTTCCAAAAACCACCTGCTTAGGGCATCATTGCATCAGCAGGTGTCGGTGTTTGACGGTCTTTGACGGATGAATGATTTGCCTTGCTTGTATTGTTTGCTTGCTTGTTTGTCTCTTTGCTTGCTTGCCTATGTGCTCATCTTTGTCTGTCTGCCTCGTCCGTTCCTTGCCGGTCCGCCGCCGAAGGTCGCCGACCGGCTCGGGAAGTCGGAGGCTCGCGCGGCGCCAAGGCCGAGAGGCATGGCGTCCGGCGCCAGGGCCCGGAAGAGCTTCCGCGCCTCCCCGTGGCGGCAGTACCTGAGAGCGAGGGCTATCTCGCCGGCCTCGAGATGGCGCTCATGGTCGCGGGGGGGGGGGCCTTCCCTGGCACCTTCCCTGGTGTGGAACCCCCCCGTGGATTGTCTGTGGCGGGTCAGGTTGATTTGGAGTCAAGTAACCCTAAAACTTGGATTGGTGGCTTGGAGATTTGGAGAAGAAAGAAAAAAAGCCCTTGTAGGGAATAGCGATTTGTCCTGTGATTTTTGCTTCACCACTCTTTCTCATGCTGTTTTTCCCACTTTTCTTGCAGGGGGTAAAATGCACCCATGGGCTGGAATGTTTGTTTCCTGTGAGTATTGTCGGGCATCTTTTTCTCGGGCGTTGTAAGGAAACAATGGGTGGATTGGTGGATGGTCAAACCAACCAACCAAGCAAGCGAACAAACAAGCAAGCAAATACAACCCGCATTGACCCCAAACCCGCACATCAGCTCGACTCAGCATTGCCTCGCATGAGTGGGGTGCCTAGCAAAAGGAAGGTTCTTCAAGTTATTGACAAGCCATGACGGGTCCGAACAAGCAGGGAGACGAGCGGAGAGACAACGGAAATAAGCGGGGAGACAAGTGGCCCTTCCTACGTGAACTCCGCCCCGCTCCTACATGAACTCCATCTTGACCCCTCCCCGACTCCTACGTGGACCCCCTTTTTTGACTTCCTACGCCTATGTGGGCCGGCCGCCCCGGACCACCCCCTGCCTACCTGGAGCTACTCAAACAAGCGACAAAGAAAGAAAGAAAGAAAGAAAGAAAGAAAGAAAGAAAGAAAGAAAGAAAGAAAGAAAGAAAGAAAGAAAGAAAGAAAGAAGCAAACACCCAAGGAAACAAGCCGCAAAGCGAAGGCTCAAACCAAAGACCACTGTAACTGTAGAACTCAGGTTTAGCTGACTGCACAAAAACGGGACCCCCAAAGGTGCGGCTGGCGAACCCTTTTTTTAACGCGGCCACAGCCGCTTCAGCACCTGTGCCACGGCGGACTGGAACTCCACCTCAGCGTTTTCGCTCGCTATGCTCCCAAACCCCCCCTTCCCCCCGGGGGGGATATGAGTTTCTTGTGGTTTCCTGTGGGTTTCCTACCGGTTTCCTATGGTTTTCCTATAGTTTTCCATTTTTTCGGATGGTTTCCGATGGTTTCCGCTGGGTTTCCTGTGGTCCAATGCCCTTGATGGGAACAACAAGAAAAGAAGAAGAAGCAACATGTTTCATCGACAAAGCAAGTGTAAGAGCTCTGCGGCTCGCTGCTTGCATGAAACGCTTGGTGCATCCCAAATGCCGGGTGATTGCACTGCATGTCCTGTGGCACCCCGGAGCTGCCTTGAAACGATATGGGCGCAAAACCAAAACAGGCGGGAATGGCAACCGTGATGCCTTCCCAATGACCAAATCTTCACGTAAACAAGGAGTTCCCGTGGTGCAGGAGGAGGAGGCATCCCCTTCCCCTGCCCAACCGCCCTGAAGCAGTGGCTGTGCAAATCTTCCTTCGAATGCTAGGGCCGACGTGGATCTTGACAGTCAGTGTGTGATGTCCACATGAGACAGTAAAGGCGTACACTAGACCAAACGGTGAAACGGGCACTTGCATCAGTTCATACAAATTCACAAGTCATAAACGCAGACGTTGTGATGCAGGATGGCTGGTTGCTAAATAGTCCATATGTGCTGATTTCCGTCCACAAAACGGCTGTTTGCTGTTCCCCAGGTCCCTAGCACCCAGATGGGCATGGATTGGCACCTTTTCCTGCAGCCGTGTTTCGAATGCAGGCGGCTCACGGATTCGCACTTCCCCCCACCCACGTAAAGGCGCTGCAGTGCTTCTACCGGCCGAATCCAAAGAGGTCCCAGTTCCCTTCCCCTTTAAAACTGGGGTGAGGGGGGAGGGAATCAAGTGGCCCAAGAGGAGCCGACCGAGTTCCTCACGCCCAGCCCGCGCCAGCCCGCGAGGCCGCGGCACCCCCCCCCCGGCGCTGGGGCCCCCGGCCAGCGACAGCTGGCCGCTCTTGTTGGCGTCCATGGCCTCGAAGGCCAGGGGCAGCGAGCCGAAGGTCTTGGTGAGGAAGCGCCGGAACTTCCGCACCTCCTGGAAAAAAACGGGCGGGGCTCGGCGGCTGTGGAAAAGAAAGGCGGGGAAGGGGAAGGGGGAGGAAGGGGGAGGGGGGAAAGAAGGGAGAGGAAGGGGAGGAAGGGGGGAAGGAAGGGGTACGGCTTCAAACATGTTTTGTTCCATGGCGTTGCCATCCTGGCAAAGAAACCCGTGGCCATCGTTGGACTTCAAACCAGGAAGGGAAGTATGCGTTGACAACCATGCTAGGCACAGCCATTAAAACACAGTGTAGTGGCTGAAGGATAGGGGAAAAAACTCCTTCAGACCGAAAGGAGAAGAATTTAAACAAAAGTGGGCGTGAGTACTGCAGCCTAAATAGACCGGGACTCTGCGCCTCTCTCAGGCCCATTGGTGCCCGGGCAATCAATGGCCCCCTCCCTTTCCTCGTCCCAGTCGAGGGACACCTGGTGCGTGTACTCCGACTCAAACCTCGGAGTTTCTGCAGCGGCTTGCCAGGGGCAATGCTGGGTTGCGCGTGTCAGTTTGCATGTGTCGGCACAACTTCTGTAACCAGCCAAGCGGAATCACACGATTGTGGGCACTTTTTTGGTTGCTGGTGTGGGAACAAAGGCGAGGAGTCAGATTGGCGCAGAAATGCGGTTGCGCGATTGCCCCAAAAGTTTCTGTTTGCAAAGGCTGCGTTGCGGCACCAGCAGTGCACGCTAAAGCTCCTCATATTTGCAAATCATGACCTTGCGCCGGCCATATTGAGATTGTTCACATGCTTGTCGCGGCGTCGGATTTGGCTGGTCTAACGTCGCTGCCAGCTGGATTCCACTAGACTTCTGAACAGGCAGGTGGCGTTGTGGTTGCCATGGGTCCTCCAATTGCCAATCGGAGTTCGCCAATGTCACATCCCCACATGTGTCAGGTTGCCAGTTGAGGGAGAGATCATAGCTAGCTGGCTGTGGCATTCAAAGTCCTTAGGTAGCATTGGTGACCACTCCTAAGAAGAAGGCGCCAAGGACCCCTGTACCAGCCTGGGGTCAGGAACCTGTGCAAATTCACATTTTGGGGGTCCACCCAAAACTACGCACCTCGGGGGCCTTTTTTAGGGGAACCCCTCAACAAAAAAAAATGGCGGTGTTCATGTCGGCTTCCCCCTTTTTCGGCCAATCCAACAGGATCCCCGCACCCTCCAACCTGGTTCTCAGCGCCCCCTCCGACTCCCCAGCTCTTCGGGTGCCTTCCTTAGCGAGGTGCAGGTCAGACTGGCTGGGGTCCAGCATCCTCGCCGAGAGGAAGGGATCCCGGTTCAGCCATCGCACCCCGAGGCGCCGCCGCTCCGCCTTCTTCTGCTTCGTCTTCTCCCAGCTCTGGAGGAAGATGATGTCCTGCGAAACTTGACAGGTGGCCTGGTCAAGTCAACCCCTGTGTGACGCTGTTGTTGTTGCTGCTGCTGCTGCCGCTGCTGCTGCTGCTGTTTGCTGGAGGGAGGGTGCCAGTGAAAGGGAACCCGATCAACCCATTGGCTGGTGCAACGGCTCAGCTCATGGCCTCCACCCCCCCGCAAATTGCCTCCAGCGTCATGTGCCGGGACCCAGGGCGCAGCAGAAGGTGCTCAAAGAGCTCCGCCACCTGCGGATGTTTTTCCCCCGCGCGGCTTGAGGCGCGCGGCGGGAAAGGCTGAGGGAGTGGCTCATCCCACACGTGTTTTGGCTCTGGGGAGTAGGCATTTTCTGTCAGAAACGCCCCCAAACAACCCCCCCCCCCAAAAAAAAAAAAAAAAACGGAAAAACAAGAAGGAAAAAAAAGGAGGGTGGATTAAAAGAAAGAGAAAAAACCTGGAAAAACAAAACAACCACAAAAAAAAGGTGTGCAAGGGAAGCCACCTCACTTGACTTCACCCCCTTGGGCTTGTCCCTCGAAGACAGCAAAAGCAAAAAACTTCCGCCTCCTCCTCGTCCTCGTAGCCCAGAGCTCGGCAGCCCTCGGCAAAGACCGCCAGGCTCACCATGTTGTTCCGGTCCTTGTCCATGATCGCCTGCGAGACATGGAATTCCCTCTAAGCAGAAGGATTGCCCCCATGTCTTTAGACTTCTCTTCTCGTTTTCATTGAGGGGTCTCTTTTCTTGAAATGGAACCCTGGTTCGGCTGGTTCTACAAATACAAACCAAACACCCCATTCAGCTTCCCCCGAATTTGTGGTTTGGAGTTGTTTGGTGGCGGGGAAAGCAACCCATTTCCCCGCAACCGTCCAGATCCCAAGCCACCAATCCCGAGCCACCAATTGGGGGGGGACCTGAATTTTGGGGGGCTGTTCAAATCTCCAAGTCACCACTTTCCAAACCACCAACTACGGGGGCGGGGCTGTTTTTTGTTGGGTGGGGGGCTCCGAATCCTAAAAATTCATAGGGGGTACCTGACTCTTTTGTTTTCGCCTCCGAATCTCAAAAACAAAAACAAAAAGGAACCTGAATCTTTTTTGGGGCTCCTAAAAAAAAAAACGGGCGGCGGATTCCGATGCTTCGCCTCGCCTTCCACATGGCCTCGATGGAGTCGTGGTGCTGCAAGCCCAGCACCCGGAACTTCTCGAAGGCCCCGGCCGCTTTGCGGTCCAGCTCGTCGAAGGAGATGCTGCCTTCTGCTTGGTTGACGTTGGGATGTCGAAGGGGGAGCAAAAATGTCTAAACTTTAGCAGCCAAGTGGTTGGATTTCAACCACTAAACCACAATAGCCAAGAATGTAAATTGTTTCCCAACGACAACCATGATTCGTCTGCTACCATTGCAATGGTGGTGTTTTTGATGTCCCCCGAAAAGGAGAACCCGAACGTCGCAATCAAAAGCTGGTATTTCTTAGTGGTGTCAGGGCCCTTGTTGCTGCAAGGACCCCTCTGCAAAAAGTGGGCTTCACTTTTGGTGGCTTCAGTGGGAACCCAAACCTTGATTTCAACCAAAAGCTAAAGTCCAAAGATCCGTTGCCTTTTCGGTTGGGTTGCAAGGGCTGGGCCCGGGTGTTGGGAAATTGGCGTCGAATGCGCCGGTGGCTTTTTGCGGGACGTAAGAAGGAAGCCCCAGAAGCACCCGAGGCAAGGGGGTCGGAGTTGGAGATTTCCAAAAGAGGAACCCATAGGAGAGATGCGAACCAGTTTCCGGGGGATTTCCCGAAGAAATTCGGAAAAAATCGGGGGCTGAGTGTTTCTATTCTTCTCTTTTCAATAGGGGCCATTCCATTTCTCATTTCCCCTATCCGACCAGCAAGCTAAGGCCCAGAGAAGCATGCATGCGCAGGGAACTTGCTTTTTTTTTTTTGTCATGGGGCCATTTGGGCCAAAGGTTGCCTGGCGTCCTTAAAAGGCCCAAAAAGGGACACGCAACCACCTAGCTCCTTGAAGGATACATGTTGCTTCCTTTGGAAAGCCGCCCTTGGCAGCTGTATTCAAGCGTTCAACTACATGTGCCAAAACAAGTCCTGAGAAGCCGATGGAAACAGGCGCACGAAAGAAGAAAAAAAAACTGCAAAATGCGAGCCCCGGAGAAAAATCCGAAACTCTCCTGTAGGGCAGGTTCGCATGTGAAGGAAACCCTGGGCTGTTCAAAACTGAGGCTTGTGACTTGGAGCCCCAGCTCAGAGATTCTAAATTTCTTGTTGCATTATAATGTTTCACCAACCTGAAATCAGGTGGTGGGGGAACCACCATTTGGGGTGAGGTCGTGTGAGGTCGTTATAATTCACCCAGAAACTTTGTTTTGTTGGGTTTTCCTGTCCAGCCCGGCGCCGCAGGAACACGACACTCAGCCGCATTCCCTGCATTCCCCCCGCACCATCGGACCAAACAAGTTCTGGATTCATTCTTGGTACGGCGAGAATTGCCGAGGTGCCAGAATTACCACCTTCCAGCAAGTGCCAGAGGGTGCGGATGTTGCCCACGTAGCCCATCTTCTGAAGAGCCTGGCATGCGCCAACCGTCCCCTCGGTTTTTTTGCCCGCCGTCAATTTTCTGGCTCGAAACGGAGGCTTATCGTGAATGCTTCCGAATCATAAAGTTTGCAACCTCTCTTGCTATCCCTTTCTCCAACGTGAAAAAAGCTGTTCAACCCAAACGCTGGCACCAATTCCAGTTTAACCGACTTTTTGATACCCCCCAAAGAAAATGGCCTCAAAAAATCACGACCCCGGAAAAAAGGCACCGCTGGGCGTCTCTTTGTGTCAAAGCCAAACAAGTTTCCGGCCTCGCAGAACTCGCGCATGTCCATCTTGCCGCTGCCGTCCGCATCCAGCCCCATTCGCCAGGCCCTCGACAGGGAGCCGAACTTCGAGCGCAGCACCTGGGATCGTCGCTTCGTCGCTTCGCGCTTCGCGCGCTTTTCCGGATGCAGTGAATACACCAAGGGTCCAAGGGTCCATGTAGGGTAGCCCAATTTTTGGCAAGCCCACAGCCATGTCTCTTTTTGGCAAACCGAAACTGTCCCTTACCCTTCACTTACCCGGGTTTTAATTGTGGCTCAGAGGTGGTTTTCTTACTCCACCGCGAAATGGAGAACCGATTCCTGGGTTTAAGACCATCTTGGGGTAGTCAAGAAGTGGAACCCTGTTTGGATGTCTTGTATGCCTTGGATGTTGTGGACGTCTTGGATGTCTTGGGTGTCTTGGGTTGATGCTTGCTTCTTGTTGGTGTGTTGTTTCTCATCCGGGGTGACATGGATCACCGCTCGTAAAGCCGCTGCATGATCCTTGCAGACGAGCAGGGGCGCTCAACCCTGAAAAAGTTACCCTCAAAACGACTGCCACTTGGGTGACATCTGAAACGGTTCAGCCATCGGCAGGTCCATTGGCCGGATCGGTCTCAGCCGGCTCACCTTTACGGTGAGGAAAGGGATTCCTTGAGTCACAGCCTGCACCCCTGCCATTTGCTTAAGCCCCTGGAAAAAAAGAAAATATGTCCAGTTGTGATAGATTCCCTTTAAAACAGGGGAGAGGGAAAAAAAGGCTTAAGCAAATGGAAGACCCAAAAAACCCCAACCATGCAAAATCATGCGCTGCATGCCAGGCTTTGGCGCTGGCGCTCAAGGCTCATTCTGCTGTAGCTGTGGACATCCTTGCCCACGGTCTCTCCGTGACTACAGCGCTTCTTTATTCATTTGTTCACCTGCGCCCTGCCCCGGCTGAACAAAGGAGTTGTGACTGGGGCAGCGTGACGACTTGGCTCTTGCGAGGCACGTGCCACCTGAGGCCTTCGAGTTCTTAGAACCTCGCTCGCAAGAAGTCCGCAAGAAGCCCCTCCTTGGGCTCTTCTGTTGCAGGCCGACGCTCTCGCCGAGGCGCGCCTTTGAACTCCTCCACCGCGCTGTTGCCCCCGAAGAAGCTGCTGCTGCAGCGGCTGCTGTCCGACAGACCCGCCTCTGAGCTTCAGGCGCACACCGCGCGGCGAACATGCGCGCGCAATTGCGAGTGCCGAAAGAGATGCGTTGGCTGCAGGACCTCTCAACAAGAAGACGAAAGCTGAATCTGCCGCTGGTTGGTGATATATCCAAAAAACTAACATACAGGTTTGCAAGTATGGTGAATCATTCCTCCGTATGCAACTCCCTGATTTGGCCATCTCGACCTCGGGCCCGGCCTCTATCAGCATGCGCCGCCGCAAGTGCGGGCCTGCACGCGGTGCCACGACATCTGACCATCTGGCCAACATCGACCGGCCGGTTGAGAGCGGTCTTTCTTGGTGTTGGCGGTTTAGGCAGACCTGGGACGGCCGGTTGAGAGCGGTTCTTCTCGGTGTTGCCGGTTTAGGCAGACTTGGGAGGAACACCATTATGTGTGTTTTGTTGTGTTTGTTTTTCCCCCCTTTTTGCCGCATGCCGAGACAAGAAACTCACCTCACCAGTGGCCAACCCCGGGGCGTGCCTGAGTTCCACCACATGGCAGAAGGCTCCCGGTCTACATGGCTCGAGGGAGTTTTGAGCCAATAACCCTGGCCGGAGCTTTGATTGCCTTCGGCAGCTCGCGCCCTCGTTTTGAAGGTATTGGCAATCTGCCAGTCCGGGACTGCCCTGCGACATTGTCCAACATGACCCACACGCCCAAACTCCTCCGCGGTAAACCGAATCTTCTTTCACAGGGTCGCACTTCATCTGGCCGCAACCATCGTTCGCTTCATACGATTGGCAGGGAAACCATTTTCACACACCCCCCCTTCCCCCTGCCCAGCTGCGGCATACTTGCCATCCATGACCGTCGCGTGGCCGATGTGCGCAGTGTGCAGGCCTTCGTGGCAAAACTTGCCGCAACACTCAAAAGCGCCCTGGCTGCCACCAGTCCCCCCCAACCCCAGTTTCAGAGTTTCAGCGTTTCAGCGCGAGGGGCGGATCTGATGCATTCGGCCAGTGCCCAACTGCACAGCCACCAGGCAAAGAGAAGAAGCGCTATGCATGTAGTAGCCGAGGACCTTCAGTCCTCAGCCCGAGGTGTCAGGAGTGAGCAGCCTGCAAACTTCTTACAAGTCCAGGGCTTGCATGTTGCCTTGGCCAAGGGTGTTTTTTCCAAGGTCAACATGAGGGAGTTACACAAAAGGGCCTCGTTTGTTGCAATTTCCCCACAGGGCGGCCAAGCCTTTCCGGGCATTTTGGCAGCCTCGGAATGACCAAGTGACTGAGCCAGCCCTCCAAAGACATAAGACTTCAGCTAGCTTCAGTCTCAGCGTGTGCCTCCCTTGCCTGCCCTGACTTGCCGGGGTTACGGTTCGAGATCACATCGCGAAGGCGCTGTGGGCCTACCCTCGTGCTGGACTCTTAGCGCCAACCATGCGTCAAGCCTTGATTCGGGCTGCGTGACCTACATCGGCAAACACGGGCATACGTCGGTTTACAACCTGGACTTTCTCTTTGCTCGTTGAAGGAAACCAACTTTCATGCAGGTGCCAACTCTCTGGAGCGCGGCCAATCCAAAGGTCTCCAAGGTCTAAAATTCCACAAGAGAACGAGACGACAAAGTGCCCCCTTTCTCCCTTCGTGTTTGGCCCTTTTTTTTCGGCCCAGATCTGTTCCCATGACGCTTCTCAAAACTTGGGCTCCTTTCAATCGAACGAATGGGTACCCCGGCGGGTTGAAGACAGACCCCCTTCCTTACAGGACCACATGCCATCATCTCCTACCTCTTTCCTGGGCTGCCCTCAGATCCCCTGCCAAAAGTTTAACTTTTAGTGGGTTAAATGGAAACTACCACTAAACACTTAAAGCCTAAAAAGCTAAGGGGACGGCTGGGGGCCACCAAGTTTCATTCTCTCATCCTATCATTACCCTCACCCACTTCATCATTGCATTTGGGGAATAAGATGAGAGAATGGCCATCACCCGCCAATTAATTACTGTGGAAATGGCGGGTGATGGGGGAAAGAGTTAGTAGGCGAGAGGCTCACATATGTACCGGTCACTCGCCTGCTCTTTCCCCATCTCTTTCTTTCATATCCTCATGTGAAACTGGCGCTGCACTGCCACCGTGTGAGTGTCCCAACACAACATACAACCAGCAAAGCCTTTACAGTTTCCCAAACCCATGACTGTCTTGGTCCGGCTGCTTGCCTTTTGCCTCCGCTTCTTGAATCAATGTGCTGGACGCTGGGCATGGTGTCGTGGTCATCTAACGAAATGACGCCCCAGAAGTTTCGACCGTCGCTCTTTCAAACGTGCCTTTTGTCTTCTTGTGCTAGCGCCCTCTGCACCACACATCGCTTGCGTTTGCCCTAGTTACGTAGCCTCCCACCTTTTTTTTCACATGGAGCCTGACATGAACATGGCCCCGAAAAAAGGACAATGATCTTTCAGGCACCCCCAAACGTCAGGTCCCATGTTGATTGGGATCCCGTAGCCCAATCCAATCCACCCGCCCGGCTCGAAGCCTTGAGGCGTGCATCCGGGCTGCGGGTGAGCGCCACCTGGGCCAGCGGGCGCGAAAAGAATCGGGACCCGGCGGCCCGGAAGAGAAGGTGCAACTCAGGCGATTCTGGGTGAATTCTACGGTGGCTTGGGGCTACTCCCCACATAAAACCCACCATTTGGGGTGAATTCGGTCGTGTGAGGTCGTGTGATAACTCACCCAGAAAGATAAAAATATGGCTTGAAGCCAGGGATCGCCCTCCATGTTTCGGCCAAATCAACCCAAAAGGCCACTCTAGGTCCTCCAGTAGAGAGGTTAGAAGAAAGGGTACCCCTTTTTTTCTGTAGTCTATTTTAGTAGGGGAACCCTCCCAACCAAACAAAAATTGGTAAAAACAGGGCACCTAGCTGAGAAACCTATGAATCTTCCGTGCTTCCTATGGTTTGGGATACATTTCCTATGGTTGTTAAGGGCCCCCAAAGAGGACCCCCTGGCCATGGTCCCAAAAGGCCACCTATGCCTTGTGGAAAAATAGATGGGTTTCCCTGGCACATGGGGTACAAAACCCATCTAAACCAGTGGGACCCATCTATTTCTATACCAAACTCACCTACGACGCCTATGCCTGTCCCCCCCCCCCCCAACCCCCGTTGGTTTCTCCTCCCATCGATCCCCCGCCTTCCCCTGCGGCGCCACGGAGCTCTGATCCCCGCGCCCGGCAGAGGGCGCCGCCACCCGGGCGGCGACCGCCCGGGCGCGTGGCAGGAGCCCGTGGCAGAGCACTGCGTACTCCTGGGCTTTGTTTTAGGGGTTTCATCAGGGGGTCTAGCTCAATGGCTGCAATTTGGTGAATGAACTGCCTCAATGGCTGCAATGAGGTCGGTTTTCCTTTTTCCCACTCTTTTCAGCCATGGCTGACCCCTCCGTCTTTTTCGCCCATGGCGAACCAAACTCAAATTAAAGACTCAGCTGAGTTCATCAAACTTCACAGCCACAAGAAGCGCCCCCCCAAAACGAAGAGGCGCCCGTTTTTCTCTTGGTTGCTGGAACGCCCCCCTCTGCAGAAAGCGAGCTCCGCTTCTTGTGGTGTTTCATTCGGAAAGCCCGTCTTGATTTCAGCCAAAAAGTTCAAAGCCTAAAGATCCGTTGCCTCATAGTCAAGTAGGATGAGGGGGGGCCGGGAACCCCAGCACCGGAACAGTCAGCTTCCCTCTTGGTCATTTTCTGGAGCCACAGTCCGGTGGTGTGGTGGTGAAACAGAGGGGTAAGCCCCGTCCTTCTACAAAAAACCCAGGGGACACGTTCAAATCCCAAACCGCCGAGCTGGCTTTCCCATCTACCTTCACAAAACTCGGCGGCCAAGCTCAAAGTGAATAACTTTGAGTGGCTTAATTCGGAAAACTCATGAGTTGGCAAAAAGTGATTCAGTCCTAACATCCCCTGGCAAAATGCACCAAAGAAAACCCAGCCGGGCTCCAAACTACCAAACAAGCTAAGGAAGCACCGTGCTTCCAAAAAAAACACGGTCCGAGCAGCGCGCAGCAGCTGACCTGGCGCCCCAGACGACCCTACGCCCTTTCCAGCGGCTCTGAGCCGCAAAAAAAAAGGAAACCGCCCTGGGATGCGGAAGTCCTCGGAAGCCAAAAGAAACTGAACCGGTCGTTTTTCGGAGGCCCTTTCTTTTGGGACATGCCCACCCCCAAAAAAAAAAAGTTGGATCCAAAAGAAAAAGAAGTCACTTCCAGAAGGGCGAGGGTGGGCTCCATTGGGTTCCGAGGCGAAACGAACTCCTCTGTCTCTTGGTTGACGTTGGGTTTGGGGAGCTTCTAAAAAAAAAAAAAAAAAAAAAAAACAGATAAGTGGATTTGGATTTCAACCACTAAAGTCACAATAAGCAAAGATAAGCAAAAATAAGCAAAATGCTTCTCCCAACAACAACCATGGCCTGGGCAATTTGAAGCCACTCCAAAGAGGACTCCCCCAACCCAAGCCAAGAAAAAGATGGCCCGGCATAGGCGGCAGGAATAGGGTTGACGGATGGATCCAAAAGCCAATAACCACCTCCTTGAATCAGCAGATAACACCTCCAACACTAAATCTTGGACCTCCGAATTGCTGATTCGATATTGCATGCAGTTGCAGGCTTTGCCTAAAACATACCGCGCATTTATGCACACGCTCCGTCTGTGCCAAACTGGGCTCTTGAAAAGCGTATCCTCCAATGGTGCATGGAGGCTGGCCCTCAGCCCCTGTTTGGCTGAACCCACACACACCCATGTTTTTGAGAAGGGGTGAAGAAACCAGGCTTGGCCAGCACTTGTCCGACGTCTGCGAAGCAACCCTTCAAGTGGGAAAAGGGAATTTAATCTGATGGCCGCCCAAAGAAAATACATATTGAGCCGCGACGCCGTTTACTAGATAACCCTCGAAGTGGGAAACGGGGATGCCCAAAAAAAAAACTCTGAGCATCATGAAGCGGGGAAAACGGATCGCCGAAGCCCGAGGGCTGAAAGACGCTTACGATCTGAGCTGCTCCGAGCTGCGCCTGTCTGCAGCTGCATGCGCAGCTCGAAGTAGCAGCCGTAGGTCTTCGCCACCAGCAAAAGCCCCGAGCTGGGCACGTCCAAGCCTCGCTTTGGGCGTCAGATGGGCGTCGCAGGTCTGCGTCACAGGGCGCATCCAACGCGACAGCTTGGGGGACACCCGCGCAGCTAAAAAATGCTGGTTGTTCTAGGGGACACGATTCCCCATTTCCATTCTGAAACCAGGAAATCCGAAAATCTGTCAAAAGAAAACCAGGAGAACCGCAGCTTGGATCAAAACACCAGGAAAGGGACCGCAGGTTGGATCATCCTTCTCCCATTTCCACTGGGCAACCCATTTTGGGGTTCCATCCTATTCGTGACCCAAACGATTGGAGGCCTTATCACCCTGCCCGCGGTTTCGTGGCTAAGGGTTTCCCATTCACTCGCTACAAAAGCCGGGGGTCCAAATCCAAACCCAAACCAATCCAAACCAACTAAGGTTCCCACCCCCCCTCCCCCCCCCTGCGTGTGCATCCCACCCCACACCCCACTCCCTGCACTGCCCTCATGTCCGGGTCACCCCCCCCCCCTCCAGAGGCCCCCCACGGTGGAGGAAGCCTCGGCCGTGGGCCGCGTCCCGCAAGATCCGGGTCTGCGGGAAGAGGCCCCGGAGCAACGCACCCAGGGAGGCACCGCCTCGGAGAAAAAAAAAAAAAAACGCGCAAGGGATGCCAAGGATGCAAAGGAAAAAAAAAGGATGTTAGGGATGCAAAGGATGCCAATGATCCAATGTTCGGGATGCAAGGGACGCAGGAAGGCCGAAAGATGCAGCACGTGGCGTTTGGACCGGCCCGCTCTGCGGGGAAAAGGGCCGGAAAAAACGCTTGGGTGGTGCTTGGGGTGTCTTTCGTTTCTTTGGGTAAATACCTTGACACAAGGGCGTCTCACCTCCAACAACGAGGTGCGAGAGTTCTACCCTGGCCGTTGCAGTTTCTTGGGGCAGAAGTGCGGGTATGGCCTTCTCACTTCCCAAGGAAACCTTCAACCCCTGGACCGGCACCGAGGCGCTATCGCGCTCCGTGGTGGAGTCGACCTCCGTGGGCACACGTCGAACGCAGGGATAGCACGGCGGTTGGATTTAAAAAATCGCCAGGGACGGGTGGGCGAAGGTGCCAACCCTGACGCGGAACATCGAAGTGGCACTGGGCCTTGTACTTTCACCAAACTTGGACAAACAAACAAGCAGCCACAGACGTATCCCTGGTTTCCCCTATCCCTGCTAGTTGGTTTCCCTGACAAACTCTCCGTAGCCCGCCGAAGTGCTGTTCCGCGCCTGCCAATGAGGCGGCTTGTTTACCACCAGCAGCTCCTGGCGCGCTGGCGCGCGCGCATGTCGGCTCGAAATCAGATCCCGAAATCATGGGGGCTGGGGAGGAGGCAGGAGGGGGGAGGGCTTATATTTGGGCTCCCTCCCCCCCAGCCCCCATGACAAACATGAGATTGTGGGAAACCCATTCAAAAAGATCCCGAATGACTTGGCTCCTTTGCGCTTACGCGGGATTTTTGCGTGCCAACCCAGAAGTCGCCACAAATCAATCTCCAATCCACCACTTCGCATCACGCTTTTGGGAAGTGACCCGTCCGAAATGCTTTTTCGGCTTGCATAGAAGAACCGCTTGGCCGCGAGTTCCCGCCATCTCACGATGGAACACGCTGCAACCTGCTGGCTCCTGCATCTCCACTCGCAGCGGCGCGGCGGTCGCGGTCGGGGCAAGGGCGAGCACGGACCTCGCGCGAAGCGCCGATCCCATAGGTAAGAAAGGGGCCAAGATGCACAGGGCGGGGAACGTGGAACATAAGCCGCGGAGAAATAAAAACCCCCCCGAAGAGCCAACTTGACAACCAGAACACACGCCCGGTTTAGCTTTGCCCCAAAAAATCGCCAAACCATTTCCTTGAAAAACCAATCCCACACTCATACAAAGAGACACATTCGGGGGTTTGGATCACACGCTGACCCCTGCCCCTCCTCCCGTCCAATGGCGCGGCGGCGCGCTGCGCCGCGGTGTGCACCAAAGCTCGCGCCCTCGCAGATCGTGCGAGGACCGGGACCAAAAAAACTCCACCAACAGACACCACTGGGCCCTTCCACGTATTTTTTGTGCGAGCACTCCAGGCAAAAGAGGTAATGCAAAGAACGTGTAAAGACCTCCGGAAGGAAGGAAGGATGGCAAGGAAGGAAAGAAGGAAGAGAAGAGAAGAGAAGAGAAGAGAAGGAAGGGAAGGAAAGGAAGGAAAAGGAAAGGAAAGGAAGGGAAGGGAAGGGAAGGAAAGGAAGGAAAAGGAAAGGAACGGAAAGGAAGGGAAGGGAAGGAAGGGAAGGAAGGAAGTGAGCCACTCCCTCCACAAAAGCTTCGCTGCTCTTTCTCTCCAAAAGCGTGGCCCAGCGGCTTCTGGCGCAGGCGGCCCAGGAAGCTGCAGGCCCACAACACCGCCAGGCCCGAGGACTCCAAGTCCACCGCGCGCCTCGGGGCTTCTCGTGGAGCCGTCGAAAAATTATCTCGCGGGTCCACTGGACATGGCCTAGAGCCGAGTCCTCCTTGGGTCTCTCGGGGGAGGGGGGAACCTGGACACCGCGGGGGGCCCCGTTTCGTTTGGGGTTCCTTTTTTTTTGGGGGGGGGAGCGGGAACCTGGGTCCACAGGAAGTCAGTGTGGGGGGGTGGGGGGGGGATGCAGACACAGGGGGGGAGGGGGGGGCTGGGAACCTTAGTTGGTGGCTCGGATGGGATTGGATTTTTGGATTTGGATTTGAAGCCCTGGTTTTCTTGTGGGTAGATGGGGTTTCCCACCCCCCCTCAACAGCCAAACCACCTGGCTCCAAACCACCAAACAACGAGGGAAACTGACTGGTCTGACGTCGACACCAATTCGGAGGTTTGTGGGCACCAAACAGCGAGGGAAACTGATTCACTCGCAGCCGGCCTGGCCGTATCTCAAAATACCCCCGAAAACAGCTTTAGTTTCCTTTAGGCTTCCACCCCCAACCATTGGTGTCCTCTTAAAGGAAATAGATGGGTTTCCCTGGTAGGTGATTAAACCACCAGGTAAACCAGGGCCATCTGGGCATGGGTCAAAATTAAAGCACCAGGGGACCGCAGGTTTTAGTCCTCGGTTGCATTTGCCAGGGTTGCATGTTGAGTACCTTTTTGGACCCACACCCATCTATTTGGCCATGGGTCCAAATCCCGTACACCAGTGAACACCCAATCCCCACTAAAATAGACTAAAATGGGTGGTGCACCTTCCCCAAAATGGGATCCCATTGGTTTTGACCAACAGCCATTTTTCTACCAAAACCACCAAAAAAGAGACACCTATGCCCCTAACGCCACACGGCCGTGTCAATCAGCCCTCGAGCGTCCCAGGCGCGTGGGGCACGTGCACCGCTCCACCTGCTGCTGCAGGTCCTGCGAGACATGTCAGGTTTCTAGGCTCATAGGCGTCCTTTTGGCTAAAATAGATGGATTTCCCTAGGAAAATGGAATAAGACCAATCTAAACCAGTGAAATGTTCCTGCCAAGGAAGTGTATTGTTGTTCCTACATTGAGGTCGCCCCTGGCAAATGGGAAACCAGTGCCTACTGATTAAAGCCAGATTGGTCTTATCACAAGAGAAACCAGTGCCTGCTGATTAAAAGGGACACCAGTGCTAAAATTGATTGGGTTTTCCCTCACTGATTTGCCTAGCTTTTTTGAGACCAATCTAAACCGGTGCCACCTAAACAGGACATCTATGTAGCAGCCCTTCATACTCTAAGGGCTTTGCTCGAAAGACGGGGAAACGGAAATGTATATCGCAACCAAGCCCCGGAGCCCCGGAGGCGGCGCAAAAAAAGAAGAAGAACGTGGCGGCGCCGCCTATACTCTCTGCTTTTGTGGCTTCATCTCCGCAAGCAAGAGGCATCCTAGTGGCTTCATCTGCCAGCATCATCGTACTATGACTGGGCCGTCGCAAACCCGAGGGCGTGCGGGCGCATTTCAGCCAATGGCCCTACGGCACAACTCAGTTCGATTCGCCCAGCCGACTTGTGGCCAGCCCAAGCTTTTTTCACTGCGTCTTGGGTTGCTGGAAACGCTAGGTGAAACTCTCCGCACACATTTCCGGCTTCGAATGCCTTGATGGATTTCATCTCGGCAGAAAAGTCAAAGTATGTCCGTTCCTTCGGTTGCACCTCGTCGCATCTGAAATTCGCTCCAGCGCGCCTGGCTGAGAGAACTGTCACATGATTCACCACACTTGAAATGCCATCCCTGCTCACTTTGGAGCAAGCGTGAGGGTGCGTATCCCTTTTGCGAATTTCAAGGGCATGGGGCCTCGTACTTTTTACGAACGCCCCGCCCTTGCTACATCACACGCGGGGAGCTTCTAGTCTAAAGAGCACCCTTCACAACAAATCCACTGAAAGCATTCCAACTTACCTGCCACAACTTGTCAGCTGTTCAGAGTGGTTAAGGGGATTTGAATCCCCGGTTCTCGTAGAGAGTACATGGGAAATAAAACTACCTGGCTTTAAACCACTAAATATACGAGGGAAGCTAAAGAATTCCCGGTTCTCGCCCCAATCCATTGGAAAAACCCTCGGATGCTCCTCGAAACTCCTCCAAGCTCGGGCCACCCACGCCTAGCGCCGCCGCTTGGGGCGCCTCACTTCAGGCCGCAGGCGGGCACCGAGGGCACGCCGCAGACCCGCCGCACCTTGGCGCTGCGGCGCTGGGGGTCGAAGGCCTTGCAAAGCGGCCCACAGTTCCTGCGCGAAGCCGAACGCGCGAGCGCGCGAGCGCGCGAGCGCCCGCGTCCGCGGGAGGGGGGGGAGTGGGGGGGGGGGGGGGGGGGAGCGGTGTGGAGAATTTTGGGCTCTTTCCGCTGGGAGAGGCTCGGCGCGATCGATTCACATGAGGCCAACTGCCCGGGGCCAACGCCCCAGGGTTTTCAATTTGGGGCCTTCAACCCAGTTCCTCTTACCAAACCTTCCCTGACGCGGAGTGCGTGGCTGATCCCAGTGAGCCAAGTTGGAGCCGGCGGCCTTTTGCAATCAAGTTGCGCCTTTCGTGGCTTCAAGTCGCGTACCATGTCCTTCCAGACCTATGGCTCCGAAAGGCTCCCTGCTTCAAGGCTCCGAGTCCGGCTCCAACAGCTAAGAACAAGAGAACGAGACCTGGCTTTCGGCTTGGGCTTGCATCGCGAGGCAAGGCGCTCGGTGAAACGCGGACCTGCTCGAATCTCAGGAACTTGCCCGAACTTGCCCCAACATGTTTTTTGGGCTTTGGAAGCATCACCTAGGATCAGCTCAAGCTGCGCTTCATTCCAAGCTTGGCCGTAGATGTGTTGAAATGCGAGCCGGCATGTGCCAAGAAAACCAAGGCATGCTTTGTGTCTTTGTGCGACCCATCTTTGGAACTCCCACTTTAACACGGAACCTGACTGAAGCGTCCTGGAAGACAATTTTCTTTTCAAACGGTCCCTCCAGTCGTGGGTTCATGCTGGTGGACAGACAGGGCGGTACTCCACTGATTTTCCGTAGAGTGAGGCTGGTGCCTTGCTTTGCCATAGCCATCTCAACCAAAGCACACTGCGAACCTCGAGGGGCCGGGTCCTGTGTAGCACCTCAAATGTCATCTCCCTGCAGGGATCCAAAGATCTGCTGCCCACTGATATAGAACAGGGCTCGCTAAATTTCCCCTTGAAACATCCAAAAGGTGATGCTCAAAACCCACCCACCCCCAAAAAAAAAAAAGGAAATCTAAAAACCCGGGCCGGTGGATGATCCCACCAGAAGACCCCTTTTTCAGAGGAAGATCTGCCTTTCTGGGATCCCCGAAACGTCAGGTTCCGTGCCAGTGGAAGGGAGGTACACCCTTCGACTGCGAGGTCTCGCTCGAAGAACTCAGATCTACCCCAAGCACAGTGCTGCTGACATCGGTGGGGGATGAGACATGGAAAATGTTTGCCCAGGCGTTGGTCCGACAAAAAGGAAACAAAAACAAAAAAGTTGGAGGGCCAAAAACAAAAAGAACATTCCGTTTCGCATTCCCTGGATCTGTCGCGCCAGCAAGATTACCAGTACTCGGTACTCGGCAACCCAACTTTGCTGGAGTAGACATCGATGGAGAAACAATACCACTCGCTGGCCTCATTATTCTACCATGATCAAAGTCACCCCCTAAGTGGTGGGTTAAAGGGAAACAGCCCCATTTTCTGACTGTGATAACCCCCAGAAACGGCCAAAATGATGACCCCAGACTCACCGAATACAGACATTTGTCAAAGAAGTAGCTAAGCACCGAAGGACGAACCGTTTCCACAGCGCAGATCCCAGTAGCTCATGGGGCTCCGGCCAGGCTCGTAGCGGCATGCCCTCCGGCCTGGTGTTGTCCGATACGCGATCCTCCCCGTCGGCCCGCAGCACGCAGGGGTCCACCAGCAGGATGTCCCCATTGCCCACGTCGGCGCCCTGAGTATACAGGTATAAAAATATAATATAAATAATAGGTCATACCATATCTCTATATGTATATAAATATAAATAATAGGTCATATCAGATGTATATATATATATATAAATGATGGGTCATATCATATGTGTATAAATATAAACAAATAAATATGCATCATATAAATAACTCCCGAGGCCCTGCGAGCCAACCGCCGGAGGTGGAAAACAAGTTGAGCCGTGAGAGCCTTCAATCGCCCACTCTGCCCATTGGACGACGACGACTGGCAACTCTGAAGGGAATCTACTTCACAAGCACTCACGCAGACCTAAGGGTGGTCCACCGCCGGGGGCAAGAAGGGCAACAGAAAGGCTGAAGGAAGCATCGAATCCGAGTTTTGGGAACTCCTTCCTTCATCCCGAACTGCGTACTGCCCTGGGAAGACCAAGTGCAAGCCACGCATTTCGGGTCCCCAATTTTCAGACATGCCCATAACTCATTCGCTGGAACAATTGCAGAAACAAGCCTGTCTTCCATGCACCTGGCCACTTCCGCTATTGGACTCCATGACTATCAGAAGTCCAACCAACTCATCTGGACTCATCGGGCACAAGAAAACCACCACCAAAGGAAGATCCTCAGAGGAGGAAGAGGAAAGAAAAACGGGGAGAAAAAAAAGGAGAACTACAAAAAACACCTTCCTCAGAAAAGGAAGAGGAAAGAAAAAACAAAACAAAGAGAACAAAAAAAGAATTGTCTTGGGTTTTTTCCAGGGGCCCTGCCCCGGGCTTTCCGGGGCCTCCGCACGGGTCACCCAAAACCGCAAAGCCGCGCCTTGAGGTCGAAGAGGCTCGCCTGGCTGCCGCTGGCCCAGGCCACGTAGTGGAAGAAGCTCTGGGCCAACTCGTTGAAGTCCTCCGTGCCGTCCAGCATGAACTTCGTGATCTCAGCGGCAGAAGCGGCAAGCGGCGGAAGAGGCAGCGAGCGGCTAAAAAAGGGGGTTAGGCGGTTCGGCGGGGCAAAGGGGGGGAGAGGAGTGTTTTTGTGTGTGTGTGTGTGTCCCCTGCTGTCTTTTTGGGGTTGTTGTTGTGTTTTTTCCTTCTTTTCCTTTTTCCCCAACAGCTGAAAGCTTTGGGGTCTCAGCCGAGATAGGCTCCGGGGTGGTCCGGGGCGACCCTGAGATAAGGTTCCACGAGGGTTCCACCAGGCTTCCACCAGGGTTCCACGAGGTTCTACGAGGACTGCGGGGTGGTGCGAGCACTAAAAAGAGCACCGCATGCTGTTGGGGGTTTCACCTGAGCTTATTTTTTTGGGGGGGGGTCCAATTTGTGCGGTTAGGGAGGCAAAAGGTTGGGGTTTTTGGGGGCGGGGGTGAGGATTTTTGTCGGGACTTGGTGTGTCCTTTTCGCGCCTCGTGCGCGGGGAAGTCGAAAAGCAGCACATGGCTCTCGGGCGCTGTGAGCAGTGGGATCTTGCTGTCCAACACCTTGCCAACTTGACCAATGCCCGGGGCAGGGAGGGGGGAGGAGTTCGCCAGTCGGGGAAGGGAGGGGGGGTGGGGGGGGGGGGGAGTAGCCGAGATTCTTTTGGCAGGTCTTTTCCCCTTTTTTGTTGTCCTTGCAAAGGACCGTCCCTGTTTATGGGTAGGAGAGTTCAAATGCGTCATGGACATTTGTGGGTCAATACCGATGGGGCGAACCCCTGCCTTGCATCCCACCGGCGCACAAACCTTCACCTGCGGCACATCCGGGTCATCCGCTTGCTCGGCGATGAACTTGTTGAACTTTGCCGCATACCTCGCTTCGGCGAAACGCACGAAGTGGGCAACGATACGATCAGGCTACTGGAAGGCTACATACATCTACATATCTACATGTGTGTGTTTGGACCAATGGATATTTGTGTATATGATTGTACCCGAATACTTCGCATCTACATGAACATACAGTTGTGCATGCATGCATGCATGCATGCGT